TCTGTACGTATTTTTTTACGAACACTTGGGTTAAAACGAGGAATTTCAACATTGGACACAGAACTGACGGGTAAAAGTGAGTACAAAGATTATCAATTTTTTAAAAATTGCTATTATTCGAATCTATGGTAAAATATGAAAAATACATTATTTAATGTTTTATAGTTTGTAGTGAAATTGAAAAATTTAAGATAAATTGAATATATTTTAAAATAAATTCACTCAAATGTTTTATTCAGGAGTTGTGACACGCCAAGGTACTGATGTTTTGAATATTTATTATGTTTTTTCTACAAACGTGCTTTTGAAAAAATACATTAAAATTGGGTGGACAAGTTAAAAAAAACCTGGATCTTTTGTAATATACCTACTAAAATATTTACAAAAAATATTAAAATACCTACTCTATTGATTGATGACATCAAGTTGTCCAACTTTTGTAGAATCACCCATATACATATTCCTGGAAATATTAAAATTTGTTTTAATTTAAATTATTTGTTTTAAGGACCTACTTAAAAAATAATATAGGTAGTATGTTAAACATAGAATGTATGTATCACGACAAACTCAAAAATTAAATAATTTTAAACAATAAATTAAATCTGACATCTATCAGTTTGTTCTAACCTCACTTTCTGGTCGCTTTATTTAGACGATTCAGCCCGCGCCTAAAACCCCGTAAGCCACTGCTGCTAACTTCAGCCCGAGAGGTAAACCACTGATTTTTTAAAATTAAAAATCGCATACGAATTAACGGCTAAGAAATTTAATTTAATTAATTTCTCATTGATAAGGTCACATATTGTCAATGTTATTTTAAAGATCATACAAACATGTAAGAAAAATCCCATTATCGTATGTTTATAGGACACCTTTTAAATACACAAGTTGTCATACAATCGTTAAAATAATACTACCTGTAAAAATTATTTTATTAACTCAATACAAAAGTATTAAAAATTGTTTATTAGTTTATTTTCAAAAATTTGACATTTTCACCGGCGCGCCGGTGATACAGAGTTCCAAGAATGGTTACTCTATTGTTTTATAGATGTCGCTCTATACAAATATTTAATTTAAATCATTTTTAGATAATAACTAATTAAAACCTCGCTTCTGCCTAATTAAAATTCCTGACTGAAATGGCGTTTATCAAACTTGATTCATAATTACCATTATCTATCCTTGCTATTAAAGTATCATTTATCTACTTTATCGGTTAGTACTATTTTATCTACGATTTTTAGTAGTTATAGAAAAAATCATTTTTAATTTTATAAAAATAGTGTACACTTTCGTTTCTTTAGCATAACTGCATGGTTTTATTACCATAAATAGGAACATTTTTTTAATTTAGTAAAGCGTTATTATTTGCGCGAAAAATCGCTACAATACACACGTTACTTTCACAATTCGTTACGATAAAGGTCGTCGGTTCGGTTTTTCATTGCCTAATGAATTTATTAATCGGTGCATAGAACGAGATAATGTAGCCTGCAAGTAGTGTTGAGTGTTTCGACACATCCGTCAAGAAAATCAATACCTTTTGTTCACCGCAAAAATATTAACCACGCAAAAAATATTCAGTCAAGTCAGATAAACGTCAGTAACACACTGTTTATTTCATTAATAAATGTTATTCTTAAATAAATACTGTTTTACAGAATATGCATTTTAAACAAAAAATGTGGGTATATCAATACAAATTAATTTTATGTTCCAATATCGAAAGGTCACACAGTTTTTATATGATAAATTAAATTGCAAGGAATAAATTACGTATACATCAATTATTTTATTCTGGTATGCTTTTAAATCAAGTATTTAATAAATATTTGTTTTCAATATTCAATATATTTTGTCGTTTAAAATGCAGTTGTCAGCGTTTTTTTGGAGAACTCAAATATAAAAATATTTGATTTTAAGGTTATGTTTGTCCAACAATTATTTTTGTTAGATTTCTTAAAAATATCAAAACTTAAATATAAATTATATTAGGTAAAGTTATAACTGATATATCATTAGTTAATTCTGCACCAACAAATTATAACGTATTGGATCTTTTGGCAAAACATGAAAATGCAACAATTTAGTTCTTGAATTTTAAGTATTTACAATTAAAAACTAATATACACTTATATAAAATACACACACAACGTAACTATAAGTATATAAGCGTTGAGTTTCTTAATCAATGATATAAGGAATAATTAATCGAAATCGAGTGCTAAACCAAAGTTTTTTAGTTTTTACTTGCAACCCAAAACGCAAATAACGTGCGCGATTTAGCTGTGCAATTAAACAAAATTTGTCGAGTAAGACTTCTGCCTTCCTCTCTTTAGTGATAAAACTACTTATTTATTTAAAAATGATGTGCAGTTCGTATGCTTTAAATGTATCGTTGACAATTCTTAAATTCACACAATGCTTTCGAACTCCATCAGATGGCGCGCGAGCGTTGATTTTCTTAATCTTAATCTATGATATAAGGAATAATAAATCGAAACCAAAGTTTTTTAGTTTTTACTTGCAACGCAAAACACAAATAACGTTCGCGATTTAGCTGTATAATTGAACAAAATTTGTCGAGTAAGACTTCTGCCTTCCTCTATTTTGTGAAAAACCTACATATTTATTTAAAAATGTTGTGCAGTTCTTATGTAAATGTATTGTTGACAATTCTTGATTTCACACAATGCTATCGAACACCACCAGATGGCGCGCGCGTTGCAAAAACCCGTTGAGAGAAGTTTTAACTTTTCACTCCAAACGTGACGTTTAAAACATCAAATTATCCCAAGTAGCATTTATAGTGGTTTACACTTACTTACACGTGGTAAAAACGGTTCTATTACGTGGAAGTGACTAAAATGGGGAACACTTTTTTAGTGTCAGTTACGTTCCAACAACGTTCTTGAATTGTATACAGACACGTTAATAACACGTTATAAAACTATACAGTGCTTGCAAATCCAAGTCCGACCGGTTTGAGAAGGACGCGTGAAAATAACAAGGATAGAACGCCAAACAGAAGGCGCTTACAATACGCACGCCTGACGCTCTGACCAATCAAATTCTGTTTGGCATTCTATCCTTATTCTTTTCACGCGGGTATTGAACAACCATCCTTCCCAACGCGGTATATGTATAGTATATTCTGCTGGTGCAAATCACATGATTACAACTATGCTAATATATTATGGAGATATTTTAACTGTATCGTGGTAGATTTAGTTATTTAAACGTTATTGCCAAAGATAATACACCCCATAGATTGGAAACTCTCCCACCACTGCCCTCTAGAGCTACAATACCTGAACTATATCTATTTGTGAATTGCAGACATCTGTGCAAACGCTATTTGCAAATGTCAATGTCAATCATAATAATTATCAATGTCAATCATAATTATTATTGATGTCGATCATAATTTTTGAATTATTAAATACATTTTTGCGCCTTAAAAGTAATAAAACGTGTTAATGGTTGTGAAATGTATTGTTGTTGGGTGCGGAAATATAACCAATTTGTAAGTATTGACTATCCTGCTGTCCTAAGCCAAAAAGACTCATCTCGTTATTATTAAATTATTCTTTTAGCAAAAAGACGCATTTTAACTAAACATACATTTTTAAGTACTATATCTCCTAAAAAATTCTAATTAAATTGAACGTATCTTATGAAAAAAAAAGTGCTATAATTTATAAAGTAAAAATGTGGAGTTGCGTCTTTTTGGCTAAGCTCTAGCGTAAAAATACTGTTTGTTAATTATGAATTATTTAGGATTGCTTGTTTAATGGTAATTTAGTCCAGGCCAAGCCCAGGCTACTTATGGTTGTTTCAAAACCAAGAGTTGGCAAGATGGATTTTTCACAGTTGGTTAGAACTTGCCAAAAGTCCACACTCAAAAGCCTTGTACAAATTCCAATATGTAGGTATATGTATATTTATAAGTAGCCTGGACTAAATTACCAAATTTTGCAATATTCTCTTATTATTGAAGAATTAAGACTAATTTTAGGTTTGCACTCCCCAAACAAAAACTTATTCATGTAAACCGATTATGTATTTAAATATAAACTTTTTTTGTATATATGTACATTAGGGTGTCCCTTATTTTTATTTTTTTTACGCATACCCTCTAATTAATTATTACGTGTTTATATACTCCCAGTAAAAATTTCAGCTCATTCTATAAACGGGAACCCGTGCCGACTTGCATCTGAACCCTCCGTTAGCCAACGTTAGGCGCGCGGTATTTTCATTAAATATTGGTTGGATAACTTTTTTTTATGATTCAGCCCTTTTTTCTCCCTACTTTTTGCGGTTTGTTAGAAAAAAATAAAAAAAACGATTTTTTTCAAAAATTGTCCTTTGACGACTCCTACTGGTGAACCAATGCGAGTTACAAAAAAAAACTCAAAAGCAATTTTAAAGATCGTGAAATTCCCCATATGGTGTATTAAACCGATTTGCAATGTTGTCGAAGGTGGGTAAGGATTAGATATTTGAAAAAAAATATATATTTTTTACATGCATTTTAATTAAACGGTAAAACTTTAAATTTAGATAGTAAGTGCTTAAAATTAATATTAAGAGCTCAAACTTGTTGAGAATGTTTTTTCCTATATGCAGATTAATATTTTGCTTGAGCACCGAAAAAAAAACAAATACTTTGCGGAAATGAATCACCCTAATATACAGGCACCCTACTAAGCATCAACATTCAAATATGGCGCCAATATATGTTACAGAAATCTACTTCAATTTTTGGCATTGCTAAGGGTATTGTAGACCTAGATGGCGTTAATTTACTTTAGCCTTTTGCCGCAAGCGCTAGTGCAGTTTCCAATCTATGGGGTGTATTACCTTTGGTTATTGCCACTCATTTAAAGTGGTGATATCAGTTTTCGACACTATAATGCTACTTGGGAATGCAAAACATTTTCTTGGTAACTCGACTCGAAAATTATTTTTTTTTTTAATTTTTTTTCCAGGAGCTTCAGTTTCCATCGATCCACCACCAGAGCGGCGCGACCTCGTTCTCGTTCTCCATGTCTTCGACCGCCGACATGGAGGGCCCGGGCGGCAGCTTCGAGTGCGTGCAGCAGATCGGCACGCCGCGCGGCTCGCTCGAGTGCCTCGGCCCCATCTCGCACAAGATCAGGGTGCAGGCGAACGAAGACGTGTACGAGGCGACGCGAACGCGCATGACCGAGGCCGAGGACAAGTACAAAAATAAATGGTAAGTACCAGGCACAGTGTTGCCAACATTAAAATGTTATAATTCTCAAAAACCTAAACAAAAATTCACCAGAATTCTCCAATTTTGCCAAAACAAATCTCCAATACTTTTAATATGCAAAAACAAAGAGGTTTGTGTGGACACAAAATGCAAAAAATATAAAACAGTTTAGTTAAAAATAAATAAACAAAAACAACTTTGTAATTTGAGGCTTTAATGCCATTTTATATAATAAACATTTTCGTTTAACATGAAAATAAAAAAATATATATTTTTAAAGCTATACAGGATGTCCCAAAAGTATATGGCCAAACTTTGCTATCGGCATGTAGGTACAGATCAAAATAAGTCTATTTTTCTATATACAAAGTTTGACGGGCACATTTTAGGATAAACTGTAGAAGGATTTAGATAGTACTAATATACCGCTGTATCTGATACATGATATGTAATACATATTACACTTTATGTTCTGTGATTACACTAATAGTGTCTTCTGTTCTCATGTTCTGTCCTGATGGTGGCATAGATTAATAACTTTAATGGATGGTGGAGTAACATATTTTTTAAATATGTGGATGGAGCTTTTTATGCAAAGGTCCGACCTGTAAATTCTTGCAGGGTAACCAACTTAATTAAAAAATCACTAGTACAATGCACCCAACCTAAACTTTCAATATTTTTTATTCTGTATTTTAGGGTATGTTCCGTAAATACACACGAGTTACCGGTCTGGTTACTGAAATAAATTCCTGGTTTTCTCGGTTAGTTCATATTTACGGGACACCTTTATTTGAAAAAACATAACTCAACTTACTTTTTTATTGAAACTTTTATTTGTGTCAAAAACTACAACTTGCATATATTTTTAATAATATTTCCTCGAATATTTCTATAGTTACATAAACAAACCTAAAACACCCTATATAATGAATTCAATTATTTTTGGACAAAACGTATTTTGTATGCGAAGTCTGCTCCTGTGTTAAATTTTTAGGTTAGATAACCAACAAAAAACAGTAATTTTGTTTAGGGCAACACTGTTTCCATTTGGTTTGCAGCACTGGTAACCGATTTAACCGATCATACAGCGTCGGTCGTTTCGGTAACGATTGATTAACCTATTTTTCAGGAACCGCGTTTCTTAACTACATAATTTTCAGGAATTTTTCATTTACGGGACACCTTAACCGAAACCAAATCAACCAAGTTGACTTACGGAACATATCCTTAATTATTAAAAATTCGCTAAAAACTCTCCGATGCATCTTTAAATTCTCCAGGTTTGAGACTTGTCGCTATCTAACTTGAAAACTCTCAACCAAGAACAAAAAATCACCAGAAATGGTGAAAAATTCTCCAAGATGGCAACACTGACCAGGCAAAATCCACGCGATACGCTGAAGAAGCATCGCTAGCAGCGCCACCGCGTGGCCGTTATCGTCGTCACCAGAATTCAGCTTTTAAAAAGCAGCTTGTCACCAACGAGTGTTTTTGAGAATAAAGCAGGAAAATGTTAAAAAACATCGGGGACAAAAACCGTGACACGATTTGTTGTGTTGTTGGTTTTTTTTTCGAAAGGAAATCCTGGGTTGAGTTTTACCCTTTTCCCAATAAAAAGTGGTAATAAGAATGGAGACATAAATCGCATACATACCTTGTAAATATAAGTTGTACATTAGACTGAAAAAAAAAAACAACTATTTTTTTTTTGAAAAGTATATCGAAAATATGGTTTGGGGCGACAAAAAAAAATTATTGTGAAAGTTTGAGTCCATAATATTATTATTAAGAGGTCTATCATCGCAATTTTAATTTTTTTTCCTCATCAAGTTTTTGTCTCAGAACTCCCAAACCATTGAGTTTAACAAAATTTACTTGAAAATATTTTTTTAAGAAAATTAAATGCTCTACAAAAAAGGTTAAATAAAATTTTTCGTCAGATGAACCGTTTCCTTAGAATCATGCCCTAAACATTGGTATAGTTTTACATTTTGATCTTTTAACTTTAGAATTTTGAAATTCACGTAAAAATCAGTACCCATAAAAAAACCGATAAATATTCTTATGTGAAATCAAATGCTTTACAAAAAAGCCTCTTAACATTTTTGGCCAATTTCAAAAAGTTACAATTTTCATTATAAGTCAATTTTTACGAATTTTGTGTTTTTTTCCAAATAAATTAATTTAATTTAATCAATTTTTTATTAATTAGCGTGCAATACTTTAACAGCAGATTCTACGTACAAAAATAAGAAAAAAAGGCCGAGAAATGCTTTCTAAGGGAACCACAGCCCCTAAAAGAGGAGCTCCTGAAGATATTTTTTATTTAATAATATTAAATTAATATATCCAAAACCGTTCAAGATAGAAAAGTAACATTTTGGGAATTAATCAATGGCCAACAAGATGTAATAATAACAATTCAAAATTTCCATGAGGGGTGGGTCAATAGGGGTTAAAACCACCCTAACTTTTTTGTACGTGTCTCGTGCTAGGATTTGATTTTAGATTATAATATTTCGGAGTTTTACACACAAAAAAGATCATCTTGTTAAACTTTGATATTATCCACTGTTTTCGCTTAAACTCCATTTAAAAATTACCTTACACAGCATAAAAGATCATATGAATTCACAAGAGAAAAAAATTCAGCGTAGGCCATGGAAACAGCTGCCATCTTTAAGAAAAATTATTTAACCCTTATGCAGGCGCACCTCTTTATGCAACGTAGTAGGTCGCGCGGGGTGTCAGAGACACCCCTGATGGCAAAGCGTCCCTGAGTGTTATTTACATTTTTTTTGTTTTTTTTTTTCAAAATTATCAAGTTAAGATGAGCTTAGAGACAATGAGAACATATTTCGTTGCGTTCAAATTTGATAAAAGATGACAAAAAAAAGAAAATGTCAAAAGACGACAATTTTAATCAAATAAAGCATTTATAAAAAAAAAACAAATTTTAAAAGTCATAATAATAATAAAAACAAAAAAAACACTAAGCACTTAAGATAAGGTTTACTTTTACAAGTAATTATGATTTGGTAAAGAAAAGTCAATAGGGAGGCAAAACCCAGCCTGCTCAAAGTCACTCAATTTCGATACTAGAATTTACTATGGAATCAAAGCTTTCTTTACAAACATTTTTCCTGTGCTTTATGCACATGTTTTTGGCACACCTTTTACTTTTTGCAAAAAGCCATGCCTTGGACAAATTACACATCTGCCCTTCTTTACCGGCAACTGATAATTTGAAAATTATTGGGCGGAGAAATTTTGGCAAATTTTTATTTGTTGTTTACATAAAATATTAGAACGAACGGAAACAAGCAAAACATAACGCAATGCTTTCAATAAATATTTTGTCGTGCGTTCCAATTACTTTTTTACAGGGTATAACCTTATTTAATGTGAAGTAATAACAAAAGTTAAAGAAATCAGCTTAATAAATTAATGCAAAATAATTGTACGTGGAAAGGCGCACGGGGTGTCTACAAAATATCAGACAACCTATTACATTAACTTCGAAATCGGCAATATAATATGACTGACAATACTTTGAAAGGAAGGTACTGAAAGTAAGCGCCATTTATTTGAAACGAAGTAAGACCGGTAGGTATATTTAGGAAGCTGGGGTGTTTTGTACACCCCGCGTGCCTGCTTAAGGGTTAAGACAGGTAACAGTTTCATGTAATATGTGACAGGGTGTTTAAAAATTGTCCATGGCCTACGCTGAATCTTTTGCTCTAGTTGTGATTTCATTATGAATTTTTATGCTATGTAATGTAATTTTTATGTTTTTAAGCGAAAACGGTGCATGCTATCGAAGTTCATGAAGAGGACCTTTTTTGTGTAAAAATCTGAAGTTATATGATCTGATATCAAATCATTGCACAAGATAAATACAAAGAAATTAGGGTAGTTTACTCCCACTCCTTATCCATCTGAACCACCCTTATAAAAATTTTGAATTTGTTATCATTCCAACTTATTGGCCATAAAAAGTTTGATTATATCCAAAAGTTCACTTTTCTATCTTAAACGGTTTTGGAGATATTAAATAAAAACCATCTTCAGGGGCTCCTCTTTCGGGGGCTGTAGCTCCCTTGGAAAGCATTTCTCGATCTATTTATTTAGGTACTTTTTTTCTTATTTTTGTAAGTAGAATCTGTTGTTAAAGTATTGCACGCTAATTATAATTATATATGGGACACTCTGTATACTAAACAATTATGTTTAAACAATTTTTTCAGTGTTTTAAAGAGTTGGTAAACGTTCTAATCGTGTTGCTCTTTCTAGCACAAGAGAAATAAAACCGAACCAGACGGACATCGGGCGCAAAGTGAAGGTGAAGCAGGCGCCGGGCATGGGCATGCGCATGCAGCAGCCGGCGCCGCCGGCCGCGCGCCGCGAGGTGCCCCTGATGCGCGACACCCTGCTCAAAGGTTCGACGGTGACGCCGTACACGATGCCTCCGGCGCAGCAGCAGCAGCAGCAGCAGCAGCGGGAGCGCGAGCAGCCGTCGTCGTACAACTCGTCCGGATCGCCCGTCAACAAGATGACGAACGGAGGCGGCGCCCTGTCGAACGGTCTGGGCAGCAACCACGTGAGCAGCTCGCGCCCGCAGCTCAACAAGCCGTCCGTGCCGGATATCGCGCGGAGACCGCTCAAGTAAGTTACGATGGATTTTTTTGGTATTATAAAGAGTGATTTTTTAAGTGTGTCCGAACTTCTGACAAGTGTCGCTGTTAAACAAACTTTCAATTTTCATGCATCTAGAAACTAAGTTACTCAGTATAGTCTGACAAATCATCATGGAACGTTTAACGCTTACAAATTGTCGAAATTTACCATCAAAACCATTGTTTTGTGCGCCAAAATTATCGTGCTCTTCGTGAATTTTATGGTATTCATAAGCCCAATCGAGCGACGTATTCGCCGAATCATCAACAAATTTCGAAAGAACTTCACCCTGTTAGATATTAAAATAAAGACAGTGCGTTTCCAAGAAAATATCATCGCTGTTACCGACAGTGATGAGAAACACCCAAATTTGTCAATTCGTCGACGTTCGCAGAAAGTTGGGCTTTGTTATTGAACTACGTGGGAAATTTTGTGGAAATATCTTTATTTTCTTTGGGGTAATGTTAAATCTTTGGTATATGTAAATAAACCAGAAACTATTCAAGACTTGGAAGCTAACATAACTCGGACAATTGCGTAAATAAGACCTAAATTGCTTGATAAAGTGGTCGGAAATTGGATTAATATAATTCGCTTTGTTACAAGTACGGACATGAGTATGAGTATGAGTATGGGAACGTATGGCAGGCCCCAGATATATTATCATCCACTGATCTCCCGGGGTTATTTTACCCCTTTCCGTTCTCCTGCGTATCCCGCCAAATCACAGCATTACCTGTGTTTGTTGGATCCGAAGTTTTTACGCCGGCTGGTAGATCCACCCTAGGAGTTCGTGGATGACAGTGTCAAAGGTTAAGGCCGCTCCCGGGATTTTTGTCAGCCGGGTCGGGCCATACGTCCAGTTTAGGAAGGGTTTTTGGAGGACATTGAACTGACCCAAAACTAAGTACAATCCGGAATCCTCCTGAACCTAGGCCTTAGTAGTACCCCCATTCAATTGGTATTCGTGAATGGGGGGTGGGTATGTTAGTTATTTGCTTACTCCTATCTTTGTTGGTTTACTTCCGGTTCTTCAGTTTCTGTGTCCGTCTCCGGGTCGGCATGTGCCCAGTATTTTAGTTGTGCCACCCTGACACGTTTGGTGATTGTTTTTCCTTCTAGGAGGACTCTGGGCGATATCTTGCCAGTGCATGGAGAGAGAAATTTTGCCAAAATAACCATCCAAAGCACCGTCAAACGACGCATCGCGAAATCAGTCAACTGTCCCACTAAACTGCGGATCTGTATGGCTAAATTAGCTATACAGATCCTCAGCCCAATAAAACAGTTGACCAAACCCACGATACGTCATCCAACAATACCCCGGATAGCCATTTCGGCAAAATTCCTCTCTCCGTGTACGCCCCTGTTCGTGATGTATTTTGATTGCGACGTTAAATGTCCGATGCTGCTATTGTTTCCAAACCCAGCCAGAAGCCGTTTTGTGCGTGGTCCTTTAGGTACGCCTCTGTTTTACGTTCCCAGTCGTTATTATGCGCGTAGCGGTGGGGTTGGTCAAGGATCGCATGTAAGTATGGGCTGTATGTCTCAATGTGTGTTCGCTTTGTTACAAGTACGGACATTTGTCCGAAATTATTTTTAAACAAGAATGTCATTGAATGTTATTTCATATAAAATAAATATTTTTAAGATATTTAATTTGGTTGTTATTTAATTTGAATTTAATGTTCGGACACTCTAAAAAAATCACCCTTTATAACAAAAAAACAGTTGATTGTCATTGTACTCACGAAGGATGTGTTCGTGAAGTGAGCATGGGGTTTTCACCATGATAATAAAAATTAAAACGCTCATTTTATGTTTTAACATTAAAAATTGATACTGGGAGAATAAATTAATAGTTATTTTGAATTTCTCAAACAAAATATTTAGTACATCAATTTTTAAGACCATTTTTATCTAAAGAAAAATATTTCTCTTACAAAATAATATAAAAAAAATTAAAGAAAAAACGTTAATTAAAAAATAATAATTAAACTGGAAAAAAATATGCTAAAAACAATATCCCCAATGAATAACAAAAAAAAATACATTTTAATTATTTAATTTATGTATAGTAATAATAATAAATATGTGTACCTACATAAAATAAATAATATTACATTAAATTTTAATTCATATACAAAAGGTGCAAGTTCATTTAAAACTGTTCTACCACTCCTACCAAAGATACACTCACAGGCAAAATAATCGATCCACACAAATTTTCGATGAATTTCAATCGCAAATAACTTTTTTATTTGATGTCCGATTTAAACGAATATTAAAGAATATTGTAGATAAATTAATGGACAATCGCTCACATTTTAAAAAATAGACGTAATTTTATAATATACAGGTTTAAACAAAAATATATTTTCTAACACAAGTTTAAGACACTCTGTGGAGTGGCAAAACCGTATATTGTTCAAAATTAAGTTTTATTTATCAAGTCATATCTATTCTTAACAGTTTTGTTTTTGGTTCACCTCGATATATTTATTTTTGTGGAAAATATGGATTTTTAAAAAACAATTTCCATTATTTTTCTGTATGAAGATCTAAGGTTGCTATGGTCCATCCATAGGCTATGGAGAATGACAGTGACAGTTTTTTTGAATCATCCCATACTTGGACATGTCATACACGGCTTTGAAAAGCTATCAAATTAATGTTTAAATTTTGAGGTGTCTTTTTACTTTAAAAAATGGATATGTCTCCGACTGATGTTGCCAGAGCCATTAATTTAATCCAAAATGGACGGTCACAGTATTACGTGGCAAGTGTTTTAAACGTCACAAGAAGTAAAGTACAAAGGGCAACATCAGTCGAAGACATTTTTAAAAGTAAGAAGACACCTCAAAATTAACACGTTAATTTACAAAAAAACAATTTGATAGCTTTTGAAAGCTGTATATGACATGTCCAAGAATGGGATGATTCAACAAAACTGTCACTCTCATCCTCCATAGGCTATGGATGGACCATAGCAACCTTAGTTCTTCATACAGGAAAAATATTGGAAATTGCAATGATTTTTTTTTAAATCCATATTTTCCACAAAAATAAATATATCAAGGTGAACCAAAAACAAAACTGTTAAAAATAGATGTGACTTGATAATTAAAACTTAATTTAGAACAATATACGGTTTTGCCACTCTACAGGGTGTCTGAAACTTATGGTAAAAAACATATTTTTGTTTAAACCTGTATATTATAAACGTACGTGTATTTTTTAGTAATTTTTAAAATGTGAGCGATTCTCCATTAATGTATCTACAATATTCTTTAATATTTGTTTAAATCCGAAATCAAATAAAAAAGTTATTTGCGATTGAAATTCACCGAAAATTTGTGTGGATCGATTATTTTGCCTGTGAGTGTATTAACATTTTTTGTATGTTATGTTAAAGTCAGAAATATCAATATAAAAACACTAAATTTAAACATCCTTTATTTAGATAGAAGGTGGAAAAAAATTGTATTATATTATATAAATCCCAAAATGCATTTTTTTAATTTTTAATATAAAAAATAGAAAAGTAGGTACTTTATAGTACTTAATTATTAGGGTGGTCGTTAAAAATTAAGTTTTTTGTTTTTTTGGGAATTTTTTATGAAAAATAAAACTTTATTCGAAATATATACAATTATAGAACCCAAATCAATAAAAAAACAATAGTTAATAGAAATAACAAAAATTTGATTTCAAAATTTTTCCCAGTTGATTTGGTCTATTAAATAAAAAAATAAAAGATATTCAAATTAATATTTTTATTTTAAAACTAAATTAGTACAAACATAATCTAGATTTTTCACCCTAAGGTGAAGTTATTTCATTTTTAATAATTTTTAAATCTCAAAAAAATTATTGTTCCATATTTTCAGAAAAGACATGATTATACCAAAAATTGTGTTCGCTTAAATATTAAAAACAAAACAAAAATAAAATAAAAAAATTACAAACATTGTAGAAAATGGACTTTTAGTTTTCGAAGAAAAAAATCAGTGTGCCGATATGCCACAGCATCAAAAATATTTATTTCAAATAGCTTGTTTCAAGTCAAGAAAAATGATTGGTCGTTCGTCGAAATCGCTCAATAATCGCTTATGATCAATGATATATTGGCAAAATCCTTATAATCATGAAAATTTAAAAAATCATACCTCCAAAAACAATTGATTAACCGTGCTAAAATTAAAATTGAATTTTTATTTGAAGTCAGGGAACCCATGGAAAAATTGCTGAGGAATTTCGAAATGGCAAGGGTTTTTTTCGTGTCGAATTCACGTGGAATTCCCCATATATTATATCTTAAATAATTTTAAATTTATGTATGTATTTTAAAAGTATTATCTAAAAATATTTTTCTTAATTTAAATGAAATAAATTTAATATATCTTAATCAATCAGTTTAATTGTATCTTATACTTACCATGTACCATATAAATAATATGTATAAACCATTTTGCCAAAAAAAACCCAAAATGCCTTAAAATATCATTAGAAAATTTACAGGTGATACGAAAATTTCCTGTGAATATCAATAAATACAATTTGTTTAATTTTCTATCAGTGTATAATTTACGCAGTTTGTGAAAATCAAGATTGCCTGATAATTTTTTAATTACACAATTAATCTTTAAATTATTAGATAATTACACATCAAGGATTTCATTGATTTTTACAAATTGGATGTATAAAAAAATCAAACCAGTATTTGTAAAATAATCATTTTTAATTTAAAATGTTCTTGTAGAATTAAATTATTTAATTAATCTTGGTTATTCCATGGAAAATTAAATTTGCCCTAAAGTTATTAAAAGTCATGACCATGACGCAATATTATTTTGATTTTAATAACGTTTACATACAAATACTTTATTACCATAGGTAATAATAACTGTTTCCGAATACCTGTAACTTTTATTTACACCCTTGTGGTCAATCCAAAGTAAGGTCGCCCATTTGATCAACAAAATTGTAAAGTTCCCAAAATCAGTACCAACCTAATGTAGAGCCTCCATTAGTTTTTTTAATTTTGTTGTTTCATAAAGTCTACAATCAAATCATTTGCAGAGAACGTTTAATACATCTACTCGCGTTGAGGCCGTTCAAAAAGGTTGAACTGTATGAACGGTTAATGAAAGAGGGCCTGCGTGAGAAGAACGGAATGACGTCCGTGCTGAAGCAGATCTCGTTCATGAAAGACAACTGTTTCCATCTGAACAGGGCCATGTGGAACGAGGTCCAGGACGATTGGCAGTTTTATACAGAGTCTGAGAAACAAGTGCTTAAAAGGTAAGAAATAATGATTTTTTAAAAACCCTATTTTCATAAAAAAAAATCTTTACATGGTGAGAAAAGTCAAAAAACACGTTTTTGAATATGTTTAGTAATTCCAAAAAACATTTTATAGTATTTTAAAGCCATACAAATGAAAACATTATTTAATATTGTCAACACAAAACAATTCAGAATTTTAAAATACATGATACAATATTTCCTTTCTAAATCTTTTTTAAAATTTGTATACATTTGGAATGCATTGTTTAATTCTTGATTTTAATATTTTAAATTTCTCTTTAGAAATTTTATTAACCTTAGGCGCCACTTTTACATTCATTTTGTACAACTATAATAGTATTTTTTATTGTTTTCACTGTATTTTTGTTATTTTATAAACCTGTTATTTTATAAACCCTATGATTTTACAATAATTTCCGTGTATTTTTTTTTTAAATTTCACATTATTCTTAATTGTGTACTTTTTTCATATCCTTATTTTTACTTTTAAAATATTACCTAAACGACAAACAGCTTGCTTAAAAATTACCACATGTCAAAACCATGTTTAATAATGCCAAAACCAAATTTAAAAATGATAAAAGTACTATCAAATGGGGGAGGCCGATTTTACCTGTAATTTATAAAATTCCGCGTTTAAAAAAAGTAAAAAAAATATTTATTTATATTTTGAACTGCTGCAACGCCTCCAAAAATTCTAAAGTAATTTAAAAATTTAATTTTTCTTATATTTTTATCTAAGTACTTTAAATTTTATCTGAAAAGTTTACTTTATCTATGAACCTGATCTGGAATTTATATTCTTTTTAGGGTTTAATTAATAATTAAAAAAATGTTACCAATTACATTTGTAATTTTTTCTCAATTTGACGTCTTACAAACGGTTTTAACCTCACTTTTTCCTAATTTAATGCACTAGCGCCTTAAGTAACTTAATAAACTTGTATATTAAATGTAGGAGTAGATAAGTATTTTGTTTTTAAAATTTTCTTCCCATATTGTTTGTTTTTAAGTTTTAAAGTGCCGCTATTATGGTTATGGTCTTCCAGACTTATTTTAGTAAATCTTAATACAGGAAAAATTAAATTAAGTAATTATAATACAAAATTTCAAACATTATTGCAATAAAAATCCAATTGTATTTTTTTGACTTTTTACCATCCTGATAGCAATTTTACAATCTTGCCTGTGATTTTTACGCGGGCTATTAAATTTGTAATAGGCTAGTTACAGCGAATAGTAATATTACTGCGCACAGAGCAGTGTCTCATTTTTTGCCATTCTGTATGCAGGGCCATATAGTCCAGTCAAACTGTGGTGAAAAATGGCCTGACTTTTCGTGCCAAGGCACTAGGGTTGGGACAGTTGAAATTTTCAAATGAAAATTTTAACTTTGAAAGTTTCAAACTTGAAATATTTCATTTAGTCGGAAAAGTGGAATTTTAAAAAATTTCAAATCCGAAAATTTCAACATTGCCTGTGAAAGTTTCAGAAATTTCGTTGAAAGTTTCGCAATTTACTAAAAAAAGTTACCATTTAATTTATAAATAAAATCAGACTTGCATCGGAAAACGGATAGAAAATGCCTTTGGCTCATAAAATTTTGATGAAGTTTCTTCAATTTTCGTAAAATTTCTGTAAAATATTTAAAAATAATAAATATATATAAATATAAAACAATGAAAGTGGCACAATCTCATTAGCTTACCAAAAAGTGCTATATCTCTTTCAGTTTTAGTAATTTTAAAAATATTTTAAAAGGAAATCTCAAAAAATTTGTGGTAAACACTATTTATATTATTGGTGCAGGGGTCCCCGTTTGAGCTTATTTCAATATTAATGTATTGATATTAATATAATAATATTAATGTAATATTACACTTAAAGTGATTGAAATTTGTTAAAAAATTCAATAAATTTCATAAACTTCATGAAATTTCAGAAATTTAGGAAATTTTAATAAATTTCATAAATGTCATGAAAATTTCAAGTGAAATTTCAAGCACAAGCAAAAAGTGAAATTTTCCCAACCGTACAAGGCACTGTCTGTTTTTTTTCTATGAATCGATAGGGGCTTATTTGAAAAGCTTAAAACCAAATTTGCACCACATAAAGATTTTTTCTTACAAAGTATATCGCAAAAATGATTGAATTAAGACAATAAAAAGTTAAAAAACCTAATTATTTTTTATAGAATTTCCAATAATGTTTGTCTAAAGTATTTTTTGTTTAAACAAGGGATTAACAAAATATAGTCAGTTAAAATTTAAAAAATATTCCTATTTTTTGTTTTTTTTTCACTTTTTTGCCAAATTACAAGGAAAACTTGAGAACATTGTACAGGGTGATCCCCTATAATGTCGCCCCCCTTTAACTTTTTTTCTACCTTCTAAAGAAAATTGGAAAATTGATCAGTATACAGGGAAAAACAAAAAGTTTATTTTTTTCAATGGATCACCCTATATATGAATTTATTTTTCGATTCCTTGTAAAATTCTGAGCATAATTCATATAACAAACCATATACCTAAATTCAACTGTTTCTGAAATATTCGCATTCGAAATGTTATCATTAAATGTTTTTTAAACTGTTAGAAATCAAGAAGCCTCAGTATACCAAAATTTTTATTGAATATAAATTACTATAGTGACATTATAATATATATATTATCAATATGTCTTGTTAAATAAGTAAAAATGACGTACTCAGACAGAGAAAGACAAACTATTTAAACTTATTATCTTAAAAATAATTTAAATATTTCAGAAACGGTTGAATTTAGGTATATGGTATGTTATATGAAATATGCTTAGAATTTTACAAGGAATCGAAAAATAAATACATAAACTACTCACAACGAAATAGGGAGCACTTAACTAAATCAGCATAACTTTTTAATAAAACTAGATACTTACTTGAAATTTGGTGACAATATAGAATATATATATACCTTCAAAATAAATGTATACACGATATATAAAAAAATAATACAATTAATTTTAGAGAAGAATAAAAAATAAACAGATTTTGAACTTTTTTATTTTTACAAAATTAAGCAAAAAAAAATATGTTTAATAATGGGTATGTCCTACTCTAGCACATCTTCGAGCATCGACTCTATTAGCTGGTCTAATAAATTTTGAGGAATGCTCTGCCATTCTTCTTGAACCATTATTGCCAGCTCTTAAAGGGTATTGGGGCTTTGGTGGTTATGCAAACTATTTTTCATAATGCTCCAAAGATGTTCAATTGGCTTTAAATCGGGCTGGCCACTCCATAACAGTTAAATTTTGTTCTTCAAAAAAAATTTAAAACTGTTCGCGCCACATGTGGCCTAGCATTGTCTTGCTGTAGTATACAATTTTGACCTACTAGATTTGCAAATGGTAGCACAATAGGTCGTAAAATGTCATCAATGTATCCCCTAGCGTTTAAAGTTGCGTTATGAATAGTGTGCAAGGCAGTACAGCCATTCAAACTTATACCACCCCAAACCATTATCGATCCACCTCCAAAAGCTCGAACTTCTCTAACCGTGGAGTCCAGAAAACGTTCTCTTTGACGTCAACGAGTATGTAGACGTCAACGTCCCTGTATACTAATCAATTTTCCAATTTTCTTTATACGTAAAAAAAAGTATTTTTTAGTACCTACATAACCACACTTTTAATTTTTTTGGGAAACTTAAAATAAAAAAGTTAAAGGGGGGCGACATTATAGGGGATCACCCTGTTCATTTGAGGATGTTAATATTGGCTTAAGGTAGTTGTCGTGCTGTAAGCATACCATCAGAAAATTTTAAATTTTTGTATACATATTAAGGACATGACAATACAATTATCCTTAAAATTTGAAGTCGATTAACCGTCTATAACCCGAGATAAATTCAATTAAAAATTGGATAATTAACATGGATTGTATAGGCTTTCTGTAGATCTGTACCAGTTTCTTAGTTTAAAAAAAAAACTAACTGTCAGAAGCTTTCAAAAAACTAACAGTCTTTTAATGTATTTTTGCTGAGTTTAAAAAAAAATAATTGAAAATTTTTGACCGTCCAATTGTTTATAAATAACGGTTTAAAGTTCAACAATTTGTAAAAAGTATACATCACTAGTGTCAGATAAAAACAACTTGGCAACGCTGTACGCGAGTATAGATATTATTTCCGCAGTAAATTCAAACACTGATTCAGTCTCCAATATATCTCGATGGTTATTTGACAAAACATCGTAAGCGACAATTTTGTTGAATTACTTTTTATTTTATCAAAGTTTCAGTTACGATAAGCTGCACATGTTAACATAATAGTTATTCCAATTTTGGAATCTAATATTGGTCAGTTTAAATATTTTTATTATTGTAAGCGCCTCTTCTTTTTAATTTGTTACCGATTTATAACGTAAGCGCCTATATGGTCCTGACAAATAATCGTAAGCAACTCCGAGACATGGCGTTTGCGATTTAACATTGTGTCGCTTACGATAATATTGTGGTCCCGCCTTGATCTATCAAGGCGTTATTCCCGTTCTAAACAGTTTATTCGTGAGTATACCTGCATCGTGGTGATTGCTACCACAATCCACAATGTTGCTACCAAGTTTTAAAACAATATTTTATTTGATCAAAAGCTTATAATTCCTTTTTATCATTGCATTATTAATAGTTATCCTAATTATAATTGTTTTTACGTAGTGTGGTTCGTTAATAGTATATTAAAGTACAAGTTGCAGAAGGCCACATATTCTCGCACGAATTCGAAATTTGGCCTCGAGCGACGAAGGAGCGAGTGGACGAACGAATGAGTGCGAGAATAGCCTTCTGCAACGTGTGATTTATACTATTTTCTCGATTTTAACTTTTATTTAGGTTTTTTTAATTGTTTTGTGGTCGTTGTTAGTTGGGGGATTTTTCTCGCAAAATGTCAGTTGGCAACACAAAATGACAATATTTGTTATCCTGCACAAGTACAACCTGAACTGCACTTTTTCACATAAAACTTAAAATTTTGCATTAAAATGCATTGTTGGAGCAAACTTAATATTACAAAACAATAATAAAGGCTTCATTTTCAATAAATGTAATGAATTTGAGGTTATTAAACAGTTTGACATTTTGGGGGTACCAATACTTAAAAACTAAATGTTACCAAAAATCGTTTAAGAATGAGCTTCATTCTTCAACGATTTTGCGTGCGAGAATATGACATTCTTACATACAAATCGAGAAATAATTTAATAACGCTTAGATGACGGCCAAAAAATTTCGAACGACCTGTCATTCAGTTGATTTCAAAATGTAAAACTGCCTTTAGTAACCACTAACCTTACTGAAAGTTGTCAGTTTGACGTATTTCATTGTTGATTGTGTGGTTTTAAGGTTAGATTCTCTGTCAACTTTTTGAAACTGCTTGTCATCTTGTCAAAAATGTCCCTAAAGGTTGGTTTGCACAGACATTAAGTTCGGGCTCCTTGTGTAGGCTCCATTGGTTAGATACTGGTTTGTGAATAAAAATCGTTCGTTTTTTTCAAAGAAAGCTAATGTAGATTTTCATTTTCAAACATTCTTTGGCAAAATTTCGTTGGTGATATAAATTAATTTTTTTCTAATTATTTTTTATTTAATAATAAAAGTAAAAAATTAAATGTCGCTAAGAATGTTTTGACAAAAGTAATCATCAAATCTATATCCCACAAAGTAACGTTAATGTAACTTAAGCGACAAGACTATTTTTACATTTTCCTAAAGATGTTCTTATAAAATATCGTATGCTACAAAATTTAATGAAAATTTTAGATTGGATTCGATCTAACTTAAATATTTGAATTCTACATTAATAAAATAAAGCCTTACCAGTTTTCAGATAAATAACTTTAAAAATAAAGCTCCCACACAAAAAAAATCTCTCCTGTAAAATTTAGGTTTTGTCGCTTACGATGTTTTGTCAAATAACCATCGATCTATTGGTTGAGCATAAGCGACATTGCCGGATTAAAACTTATGAAAATATAGTCGCGGCCAAATCTGTATGGGTGCACGTCATCAACGGCATATGACGTCAGCGTTAAGGTCTATTCATACGTGCCCAGACACAATCTAACGCTCGTGTATTGTTGACTGTTTATACCGGTGGGGGCTGTTATTAAGATGGAATTATAACGTCCTTGTTATAATCTTCTGCACTAACTAATTAGGAGTTTGTTAATGGCAAATTTTTATTAAATGTGTTTAAAGAGAAAACAAACGGAGTTTATTACATTTTTATTACATATGCACATAACAAAAAAATACTAAATTATCAGAAACACAAAAATAATAAATTACCAGTCGTCCTTGTCATCAGAGCAAACCAGGTCAGAATTGAAGTCTGATTATTTCCCCAAATTTATTATTAAGGGCGCAATGTCTTCGAAATCTAATAACGGCTAGTTGCCAACAAGCCTTATTTCATTGTTTGCACAATCCAGGGATTGAATCTTATAATCATAATGTATAATATTATTTATAATAATTTGCAACAAACGATGCTTCCGGACGAAATGTCACAATTACAAAAATACGTCAAATATAAAATGACAGCGACCCATCAATAATATTTAACGGTGCGCGCCAGCCTTAAGCTATTACCAACTGGCACACACAAAAATTACTAAGTGAATGGTTTTATTTTGATAATTTCGTGAAAAAACGTTTTAAAACAAGGAAATTGTTACAGTTCTTGGTAAACAATACGCAAATGAATGATTTCTTTTTAATAACACATCAGAATTACGCCTTAAAAAAGCAAATTTAACGGCAGTAACTTTACAATTCAAAGTTGGTAATGCTGGCGTCATTATATCTCATTGATGACGTGCACCCAAATAGATTTGAAACTATTACGTAAAGCTATCGTCTCCAGGGTACAGTCTTGCGAATAAATTATGATTCACTTAGCTTCAAGCTCGTATACTTTTACGGTGCGTATAATCCAAAAATTTTGGACAATATTGTACCACGACAACTACCTTAATTTCTGTTTACATTTTTAGGCGGAAACCGCAAAACCTGACGCCGCCTGGCAGCAGCGACGGCGGCTCGTCGGGCAGCGGCCAATCGCCGACGAGCACGCACCCCGGCTCGCCGCCGCTGTCGATATCGTCGTCGTCGTCTTCGAAGAGGCCGCCGCCCGGCTACGGGCACCACGATGGCATCGATCCGCTGGTGCCGCCCAACAAGCGCCCGCGCATCTCGCACTACCGCAAGCCGGGACCGCCGGAGGCGCCTGCGCCGTACGCCCGCCCGCCGCCGCCCGAGCAGAACGGACATCGTCGCCCGGCGACGGACTCGCGCGACTCCAGCAACATGAACCCGCGCAGCAGGGAATCCCCGCCGACCACCACCAACAACGGGTAAGTCAATTTTTGAACTTCAAAACCAGTGATGTTGAGGATGCAAATATTTTAAAGCTCACAACCACGGATTCGGATTCAGATGTTACGTTTTTTTAAGAAATACTTCATTTAGGTACTATGCTCCACACCTCAAAGTTCCACCACGTGACCACGTACGGAACGAAGTCTTTTGAAAATTTGGCATTTAAGGCTTTTCAGGTTATGTATCTGTCAAAGTATAGTCAACGAAAGAAGGCTCTCTTGGAAGGAACACATAGCTTATGTTTCCAAAAAGATTGCCGGTCCGATTGGTATGCTAGGGAGGTTATACGCTGTTCCTAAAAAGTATTTAAGGTCAATCTACTTTTCACTGATTCATAGTCACTTACAATATTTAAATATTGTATGGACTTGTACTTATGATAAAAATTTAAAACGCTTAAAAGTATTGCAAAACAAAGCAATTAAAAATATTTATTCTCTTAAAAGTCGCTATCCAACAGCTGATCTTTATAAGGATTGCAATATTAGGTCATTAAAAAGTATATATGCATATCAAGTAAATATTTTTATAAATCAAGTTTTAAACGGATCACGCCACTCATGTATTGAATTCTCTTATAGAAGAGATGTGCATAATTATGCAACCAGAATCAGTGAAAATGTGGATTTACCTCGAGTATTTTCAGAATTCGGTAAAAACTCTATACTGTTTAAGGGAGCATCTGTTTATAACAAATTACCAAACAATATAAAAGAACTTAAAGGATTTAAATTTAAAAAGCATATGTCGTCTTGTGTGGCGAATTTTATTGAATAAACAATGATATATCGTAATATTTTTCCTTTTTTCTGTGATATTATATTATAATGATATGTTCCTATTTAGAATTAAAAATGTATTAATAAAATAAAATAAATTTAGATTTAAAAAATGTATTAAGAATTAAAAAATATTTATTAAATTGTATGATTGGAGGTCTCCCTCTACAGGGTGTTTCATAATATATGCGCAGGACTTCAGGATGTGATAGCTCAACCAAAAAAAAAAAAAGTCGCTATTAACTTACCCTCTAAAATGCACAATTTTCGAGATACAGGGTGTTGAAATTTTAGAAAAAAAATCGTTTTTTTCGATTATCTCTGGAACCGTTTATCGTACAAAAAACAGCTTTTGTAAGCATTTTCTACTCATAATAAGCTATGTTTTCTACACAAAAAAGGTACTTGGTCATAAGCTCTAAAGTTGACCGTTTTCGAGAAAAATCAACTTTTATGTTTAAAAACATGGTCAATTTTATTACTAATTAAACAGAATTTATTTTAACGTTAGAAAAAGTAACAAAACCAAATGATAATTGCAAAATTAAAAAAAAAATAAATAATGATTTTTTACACAAATGTGCGAAATGCGTTACCTTTACGGTTTGGAGAATTTAGCAACTTTTGAATCATTTTTTGCAATTATGGTTTGGTTTTGTTTCTTGTTCTAATGTTAAAATAAATTTTGTTTAATTAGTAAAAAAAAAATATTTTTTTTTAAATTGACCATGTTTTTAAACATAAAAGTTGATTTTTCTCGAAAACGGTCAAGTTTAGAGCTTATGACCAAGAGTACCTTTTTTGTGTAGAAAACATTGGCGGTTCTAATGGGCCTCTCAAAACCGTACTTTTTTCAGGGGCGTAGAAGTTAAGGAGAAAAACACCCGCTACCCCCTCAAAATCTCCACCAATTATGAGGAATTTTTTCTGGCACAAAACATAGCTTATTTTGAGTAGAAAATGCTTACAAAAGCTGTTTTTTGTACGATAAACGGTTCCGGAGATATTCAAAAAAACGAATTTTTTTCTAAAATTTCAACACCCTGTATCTCGAAAATTGTGCATTTTAGAGCGTAAGTTAATAGCGACTTTTTTCATCTTTTTGGATGAGCTATCACATCCTGAAGTCCTGCGTATATATTATGAAACACCCTGTATAAACTGTATGTTTCTTGGGATGAAAATAAAGTATTTATTATTATTATTTTCCTTGCAGGCATTTCGGCTACGCGAACGGTACCAACGCAGGCGACAAGCGGCAACAATTCAGCGACGACGAGGACGTGATCGGCAGCAAGAAACGTTCATGTGATAGTCATAGTTTAAGCTTCGGCGTCGGCCGCGACAAACCGCCAGCGTTCAACAACTCATCGAAATCGATAGCGGCGGCGGCGGAAGAATTCGCCGCCACCACCACCTCGACGACGACGGCCCGCAAAGACCCGAAGATCGGCGGCGGCAACGGACTTAGTAATAACGGATTCACTACGAGTAACAATAGACTTAATAAGTTAGACAATGAAAGGAACAAATACAGCAACAAAGTGAGCTCGTCCACGCAGCAGAATAACAGGATTGCGAGAGTCAGCCCTGACAGCCAGACGGAGATTTTGCCGGCAGATCTCGATCAGCCCCGAAACAACAAAACTCAAAGAAAAATCGAGGAGGAAGAATTTCCCGATTACGAAACGTAAGTTTACAAAATTAAACTTTTAAAACAATGGGGTAGTTAAATTTTTTCTGACCCATACTTTTTATGGTTTTATTCAAGGCGTTTTGTAATATTAAACATTTCTGTGAAATCAGAATTTCAATTGAGTTTACCGTTTTCAAGATATTTACAAAAAAAATAAATTTTTATGACGTCACAAACCTCGCCATGTGACCAACATTCTAAGATTTCTATTGGTTGAAAATTACCCTGTTGTCAAGTTGTCTTGTTAATGATTTCATTCGGTTATGTCAGAAAATACCCGAAGAGGTTATGTTCAAATACTGTCACTGTCAGTTGAGTGAAAGATGGTCACCAAATTCATTAAGTACTTATCTTCCTTATTACGAGGTATCATATTACTAGGCATTATACTAATGAAATGCATTTACGACAAAATATGATTATAATTATAGGTACTTACTTTATTTGTTTAAAAGCTCCAATGTTCAATGTAACCAACCATTCCACAAGATTCCTCTGCTTTGGAGTCCGTTATTAATACATCACTTATCTAATATCAGTTACAAATAACATAACAATAACATTGATTTTCAATAATCTAAATTTAAAAAAAACATAACCCGAAAAAAAGAAACGTCAAAAAATCAATTCTTCTTCTTCTCAACTAAAATTATAAATCAAGTGATTTTAAAACTAAAATATTATAACGTGGCGCCATCTATCGTAAGAATCTTAAACTAAACAAACTGGCAACCATAGAAAAGGCTGGCAACGTTGTCAATAGCCTAGTGACGTAATTAGGAGATTTTTTTTGTAAATATCTCGAAAACGGTTTGAATAAAACCATAAAAAGTATAGGTCAGAAAAAATTTAACTACCCCATTGGAATCTATTCACATGCGCACACGGTGTGCCTGAACGAAGTTTAAGTTACATAAAAATGCCGCCAAAAACTGATTGTAGTTTCTTGTTCGGGACCCTTTGGTAACTTAAAAATAATATTTACTAAAATCCTAGCTCCTCTTTTCGAAATTTTTTGAAAATTCATGATTTTTTTTTAAATTTTTGTTTATTTTAAAGTCTACCTTTGACAGAGTACACATTTGTACACCGATTTTTATAAAATTAGAGTATATTATTGAGTAGACTTAAAGAATACTTTTTAATACTTTTCAAATGATTTGATTTATTCAGGGTGAGCCAAAAATCGCTTATTTTTAATAAAGCAAAAGCGTAAATTCATGATTTTGGCATAACACGCAAAAAAGATTTATCCCCATTTTTTTTTTAGATATTTCTACGTTTATCAGGTTACAAAATAGCATTCTTATTAACATTTTATAAAAAAAATATATTTTTAATAAAATTAAATAAAATAACGCTTAGAGAATATTTAAAATGTTGTTTAATTTAGGCTTTTTAGTATTCAGTTTTGAACGAAAAACTGGTTAAAGTTTTTTGATCGGCACTCTTTGGAGATTTAAAAACGATATTTATCAAAATTCTAACTGCTTTTTTTTAAATTTGTTAAAAAATATTTTTTTTTAATTATTTGTGTATCACAAAGTCTACCTTTGCCAGAGTACACATTTGTACACCAATTTTTATTGATTGCAGTTTCTTGTTCGGGACCCTTTGGTAACTTTAAAATTATATTTACCAAAATCCTAGCTGCTCCTCTTTTCGAAATTTTTTGAAAATTCTTAATTTTTTTTTTTAATTTTTGTTTATCTTACCTTTGACAGAGTACACATTTCTACACCGATTTTTATAATATTGGAGTATATTGTTAACGAAACTTGGAGAATACTGTTTTCATACTGGGTTAACCTGTTTTCAACATGGTTAGCCAAAAATCACTTTTTTAAATAGTAAAAAGCATAATGCACAAAAAAGATTTATCCAAAATTTTTTATTTTATTTAATTTTTTTCAAAATCAATTTTTCTTATAAAGTCTTAATAAGAATCCCATTTTGTAGCCTGATAAACATAAAAATATCTAAAAAAAACATGGGTGGGATATATCTTTTTTGCGTGTTATGCCAAAATCATGAAGTTACGCTTTTGCTTTATTAAAAGAAGCGATTTTTGGCTAACCCTGTATATATTAAATGATGTGCACAGTATAAAAAAGTATTCTCCAAATCTCCTTAACAATATACTCCAATATTATAAAAATCGGTGTACAAATGTGTACTCTGTCAAAGGTAGACTTTAAGATAAACCAAAAATTAAAAAAAAAATCATGAATTTTCAAAAAAATTCGAAAAGAGGAGCAGCTAGGATTTTGGTAAATATCATTTTTAAGTCACCAAAGGGTCCCGAACAAGAAACTGCAATCAGTTTTTGGCGGCATTTTTATGTGACTTAAACTTCGTTCAGGCACACCGTGCGGAGTTGCTATAAATATAATCCTTTTATAGATACTAGGGCTGGGCGATTATCCAAATTCATTATCGATTATTGGTTATCTAAAATAATCGATTTTTTTGCCCACCCCTAATAGATACTGCGTATTAGACTGGGCCAAAAAATCAACTTTTTTTTTTGAAAAATATATCCAAAATATGGTTTGGGGTGACAAAACAAAATTATTGTGAAAGTTTGAGTCCATAATAATCATGCCTTAAAAATTGGTATTGTTTTACATTTTGATCTTTTAACTTTGAGATTTTGTAATTCATGTAAAAATCAGTACCCAGAAAAAACCGATGAATATTCTTATGGGAAATCAAATGCGTTACAAAAAAACCCTCTTAACATTTTTGGCTAAATTCACTTAATCAAAAGTTATTCAAGGTTAAAGCTGAAGTCAAAACGAAATTCTTGTTTTTTCCTCTGTAGATTTATTTTTTATGGGTGATAATTTGTTTTTTTTTCTTTATAAATGTGTATTATATTACTAATTAACAATTTCCAATAAAAAAACATGAGTGTTATTATTTAAACAATTAAATAGGTAACAGTGAAAATAATATTTTCTACAGAAAATAGCTTCTTAAAGCGAAAAAATGTGTTATTTTTTTTTTAATTTTCAGTAATTTTATCAATAACATAAAGATTATCATCGATAAAAGAATTCAAGTTTTTAACTGACCCAAAAAAAATCTAGAGCGGAAAAAACAATAATTTCGTTTTGACTTCAAATTTAACCTTGAATAACTTCTGATGGAGTGAATTTAGCCAAAAATGTTAGGAGACTTTTTGTAGAGCATTTGATTTCCCATGAGAATATCTATCGGTTTTTTTACTGAATTGCAAAATTCCAAAGTTAAAATATCAAATTGTAAAACTATACCAAATTTTAAGGCATGATTGTAAGAAAACGGTTCATCTGACGAGAAATTCCAATCAAACCTTTTTTGTAGTCAATTTTGTTAAACTCAATGGTTTGGGAGTTCTGAGACAAAAACTCGCTCAGGAAAAAAATCTAAAATTGCGATGATAGACCTCTTAATATTAATATTATGGACTCAAACTTTCACCATAATTTTTTTTGTCACCCCAAACAATATTTTCGATATACTTTGCAAAAAAAATACCTAGTCGATTTTTTTTGCCCAGTCTACTGCGCATGAATCCCACAAACTAACCTGTCAAGCTTACATTCCTTGGTTTATTTATTAGACTCACTTACAAAATTCATTTTTAAACTACAAAAGGGAATTTATGAATAAAATCGCGTTAAAAACGCTTCCTAGGACCATAATAGTTATTTGTGTACCAAGGCCAAAAAGTGACTTTTTTGGATGAGTGATTTTAAAAAAGAAGACGAGGACAAAATAACCCTTTCTGGAAGTGGTGCACACAAAATATGTTTGGCAACCTTCATTATAATTATTTTATTAATGATTTATTTATATAATTATGAAAGCAGTTAAAAAAGTGTTTTTATATCACACAAAAATATATTTAAAATTTCAAATTTTATTAATGATTTATTTATATAATAATTATTATGAAAGCAGTTAAAAAAGTGTTTTTATATAACACAAAAATATATTTCAAATATAAGTGAATATTTTTGCTAAATAACCTAAATATTTTAGAAAGATAAGTCATTATTATTTAAATGCCTCTAAAATGGTTTTACAACGTTTTTAGATGTCCCAATTTTTATATTTATTCAATACAATACAAAATTTTTGCAAATGTTTTAAAACATTATTTTATTATTGTTCCCTCAACATCACAAAAATATGTGGAAATATTTTATAATTTATAAAAGCCGTGCGATACTTTTTGTGTACCTGCTGAATTTTCTTGTTTTGGAGTGTAAAAAGTAGATGTGGTATGGGATTATCATATTAGATACACTAAAACAGTGAAATACCATAGCTGGAGATATATTTTTTTCACGCTAAAAATATAACAATAATTAATAAAAAATATAAAAAAATAGTATACTTATTATAAAAATAATCGATATAAATAAAAATGAATTATGTAAAACAAAATTTATTTGGAAAAAGTTAGAAGAATATTTTTCTTTCTTCAGTTTCTTTTTTACTTGCTTTTTCTAAATTTAGCTTCATCCAGCGATTGTTGTAACTCCGGTAAAATGTCATTTTCCGGGTGGAGGCTAAAAAAATTAATTTAAATTAGAGTCTTCGGTTTAATCCCACTCAGGGAAATTACTTTTTTGTTTTTAAAAATTAAAAAACTATAATAATTTTGGTGTTATTAGGTTTATGTTTGTTTTTTGTTAATAAGAAATTTACCGCTTTTAATAAGCAGCCGAAAAAATGACTTATTTGCCTTATTTGAAAATCATGGCGCCACCATAAAACGGTCAATAATAAAAGCCACTTTATTGTTCATGTCGACTAAAAACCATATATTTGAAAATAAAAAATTATTAAAATTAAAATATGTTTAACAAAATTAGTTTTTACTATCATTTTTTCAATGTAAATTGTACTGTAAAAATGTGCTTTATCGTCATAAAAAGCGTTTTTACCGCGATTCTGTTAATAAAATCACTTTTGTAAAATATATCAGCTATTTTACAAATTCCCAAAATTGAAGAGAATTTTTAACTAAGTCTAATAAATTATCACGGGACTTTAACGTACATATTTAAAAATGTTAAGGGCTTCACCGTGGTCAAAAACAATTTTTATGTTTGAAAACCGTCATTAGAATTAGTGAAGGGAGAATCGAATGATTTTAAGAATCGAATACTTTGCATTCGAATAGTCTTAAGAATCGAATGATCATTCGAATGCAGAGAATCGAATAGTTTGTTCCGAATCGGAACCGATAATAGCCGAAAACATTTATTGAATGAATGTTTTCGGAACAAACTATTCGATTCTCTGTATTCGAATGGTCATTTTATTTCTTGTTTACAATTCGTTATGGGCTAAGCAGTGGGTGCAATATAAATTCTAAACCGGCTAATATACCTACTAAATAATTGATTTATGACATGCTTTCTTTATTTTTGTCATAAAACATAAACCATATTATTTGTCAGGTTTTGTAAATAGGCGAAAATTTATGGCCTATTTTAATAAAATAAAAATGGATGCTCTTTATTTTTAATAAAATAATACCTTTTGATTCAAAATTAAAATCCTTAAGGAAATAGTCACCAAAATTCAACATTCTTTATTTTTAATTTGGTTGGAACGTCGGTTATGTTTTATTTTTGTGACATTTAAAAAGTTTTAATAATAATTGTTAGATAATTATTTTTTGTTATATTTACTAGATTTTAGTACATATTAAAATTAACACAAGCAGTGCTGGTCCAGCTCGATGCAAGCCGATTCTCCATGCGATACAAAAAATCAACTTTGGCGTGAATTCGAATGCAGAGAAATCTCTCGCTTTCGATTCGATTCGAATAGTTCGAACTATTCGAATACTTTGTTGAGAATCGAATGCATTCGAATGCACGCCAGAATCGAATACTTCGATTATTTGTATTCGAATAGTCCCTTTACTAATTAGAATGTGGAAAATATGATAATTGAAAATTTTTGAAATATTAAAAATCTTGAATATTATGGTTATTATGAAAATTTTCGATTTCTCCTTGTCAAACCCTTTCATTTAATACCTTAATTAGGGATTGATTTATTTATATCTTTCTTTTACTTGTTTTATTTTAGTGACTTTACTCCGATACAAAGCATAGAACAGCGGCGCCGATATAAGGCGGAATTCAACGCCGACTATGCCGAATATCGAAATTTGCATGAAGTAGTCGAGGAGGTGTCGCAAAAATTCAAGCAGTTACAAGAGAGGCTCAAGCAAGTGCGGGAAACGAGCCCAGAGTATAAAGTAAGTAAAGATAAACACCTATTTTTATAATTCTATATTCAATTATTAATAACATTTTGGTAGAGATGTAAAAAAAACGGTTTTTTTTCAGATGTGAAAAAAACATGAAAAAAAAACGGGTTTTTTTGTTTTTTTTGTCAAAATGAAATTTTGAGTAAAATGTATATTAATAATAAAGTGAAATGTAGAATATATTACATTTTTCATTATTGAAAATTTTGACCGAGACAAAAAAATCTGATTTCTTATTATTTGGTAGTTTCCACATTAGAAACCAATAGCAATGTAAAACTTCTACACTACTACAAAAAATTAAAGGATACAACATTTTTTTTGCGATTTTTCGGATAGCTGTATCTTTGTTAAAAATGGTCGTATTGGAGCCGTAAAAAACACATGTTTATATGAGTTGCACCAACCAATTCGTTGCTAAGCGAAAAATGATTGTCAATGTTGACGTTTCTAAATTTAAAATAAAAATGTCAAAAAATATTCGTGAAATAGTCTTGCCGAATACCACTGGTAATAAAATTTTTCCTGATTTTTTTTTTTTTTTTTGATTTTTTACCCATGATTTTTCCTTGGAAATTTTGCTCTTGGCATTAATTTAAAACCACTCGCCTAGCAGCTCGTGGTCTTAAAAATTAATGCCACTTGCGAAATTTCCAAGAAAAAAACATTCGTATAAAAATCAAAAATTTTATCGGTAAAATTTTACCACTAGTAATATTATACGAATAATCATCAAGCTATTGAAACATAAACATGACTATAGTTATAAAATTATTTATTGAAAAAATTATACATTATTTTAAAAATTAATTCTCAAAAAAACACAAAACACACATGGAATGCGCTGCGTCCTAATCTCGCAAATCTTGCGAGATCGCGCATTATTTTAGTGCAAGACTGATCTTGCAGAATTAGTGCGTGATCTTGCTATTTCGAGATCTTGTTATTCCAAGATTGCATTCCCTAATGGTGGTAACGTGGATTGTGAATTTAATTCACAAAATAACAATGATTTCGCATCTTGTGCGCATCATCTAGAGTGAACTTCCGCCCCTAGCATCCTTGGATTAATAATCTCTCGCATCTTGTGCGCATCTCTGATGTACTAAAGTCTAGTTAAATATTGATAAGGTTTTGGATGGTTTTGCAAAAATGAAAAAAAGACATTATAATTTGAATTTTATATTTAAAAAGATTACCTGGGTCAGGGATGGCGAACCTATGGCACGCGTGCCATGAGTGGCACGTTTTAAATTTTTCTTGGCACGTTTTGAGAACAAAATTTGTTCATCTTAAGCTAATTTTTAAGTTTAATAATTTGCCTATTTTATTCTAATTAAATCTTAACTTAACTAAACTCCGTAAAATTTAATGTCTATGTTAGCCTTGTAATCATAAGCGACAAATTTTACAATTTTTTTTATAAATATCGCTAGAATTTTATCTAGGTGTTAAATATAAACAACGATAAAACTTCTTTGTTTGTAAAGCTTTTAATTTATAATCTTGAATGTTTTATTACAAAGTTTAACGTAAGAATAAGCTAGATTTTGATACTATACAGAACAATAATGGTTTTAAAAAGAATCATGAATGTTAAAACAAAATGGGTTATTTTTATAAAAAACAAAAATGCCATTTTCTTGAAATTTACAACATAGTAATTTAATGCTCCAAATAAAATAATTATATTTATTATTTTTATGAACATCTATTTTTAAGTATGCATCTACATATGTTAGATTTTGATCTTTTATTTCTGTTAAATCGTACGGTACAGATACCTATAATCTAATGAAAAAAAAAAACGAGACTAAATTTATTTCTTAAAATATAACAATAAATAAAAAAATTTCTAAATAATGATTTACTTTTTTTTATAATGTTTTTGTATACTTTCATCTTCATAACACTTACAAAAATTTACTTGAGGCACGTTACAATTTGAAATTTTTTTTTTTATAGTTTTTTGGCACACACTAAAAAAGGTTTGCCGTCCCTATGTAGGTACTTAAAAAAGAATATACGTTTATGAGATATTTAGTTTTGGTACCTTATAATCCTTTTCCCCAATATACAAAAGCAAATAAACAATAAGGAGTTTTGCATAATTATTTTCCTTAATTGTTACCCCCAACCAGAGTTGGGAGTACTGAGTATTTTTTTTAATGGATTATGCTATCATTACTAATTATTACTTGATTTTATAATTGTAATGAGAGAAAAATATTGAGTACTTTTTATTTTTACTTTACCAATTTGATAATTACAATTTTTTTTTATTTTGTAATTATAATCAGAGAAAATATCAAGTACTTTTTATTTTAACTTAAAATGTTTACTGATTCTAAATATTTTTTTATTTATAATTAAAAAATAATAAAGAACAGAATACATTATATTTTTTGATTTGATTAGAATGGTAAATAAGGATACTTCCGTGCTTGTTTATGTTTTTATTGCGACTAGTTTCGATCTATATTAGATCATCTTCAGGCAAACTACAAAAATATGTAAAATTATTATAAGGTTATGTTAACATGATAATGATAAAATTAATAGTTTAAAGTAACAATAGCATGGTTGATAACAAATATTAAATACTTACATGTCAATAATTAAAATATTTGTAAAAAGGTTTATCAATTATATTAAATATATGCATAAAGATAGTTTTAGATTCTGATTAAAATTATTTACAATATACAATGACTTGAAGGACGATGTATTCTTGGTACTTGTATTTTCATTTATATTTTACAATAAGTACAATCAATTTTTTACTTTGACTTTAAACTTTTTGCATTACGAAGTAATAAAAAATATTATTTATTCAAATTAACAAGTACAATTATTTTTGTATTTTTACTTTAAATCAATTAAGAGTAAAAAATACAATGTATTGATAATTTTTATTTTCTCCATTCTCAAGTAACTTAAATATTCTAATGGCAATACTTTTTAAGTACAAATCTCGCAACTCTGCCCCCAACCAAAAGAAAAAATTATCGACGCCCTTGCAGTAGTGAAGGGAGAATCGAATGATTTTAAGAATCGAATACTTTGCATTCGAATAGTCTAAAGAATCGAATGCAGAGAATCGAATAGTTTGTTCCGAATCGGAACCGATAATAGCCGAAAACATTTATTGAATGAATGTTTTCGGAACAAACTATTCGATTCTCTGTATTCGAATGGTCATTTTATTTCTTGTTTACAATTCGTTATGGGCTAAGCGGGTTGGCGTCGCACTGGGTGCAATATAAATTCTAAACCGGCTAATATACCTACTAATTGATTTATGACATGCTTTCTTTATTTTTGTCATAAAACATTAACCATATTATTTGTCAGGTTTTGTAAATAGGCGAAAATTTATGGCCTATTTTAATAAAGTAAAAATGTATGCTCTTTATTTTTAATAAAATAATACCTTTTGATTCAAAATTAAAATCCTTAAGGATATAGTCACCAAAATCCAACATTCTTTATTTTTAATTTGGTTGGAAAGTCGGATATATGTTTTATTTTTGTGACATTTAAAAAGTTTTAATAATAATTGTTAGATAATTATTTTTTTGTTATATTTACTAGATTTTAGTACATATTAAAATTAACACAAGCAGTGCTGGTCCAGCTCGATGCAAGCCGATTCTCCATGCGATACAAAAAATCAACTTTGGCGTGAATTCGAATGCAGAGAAATCTCTCGCTTTCGATTCGATTCGAATAGTTTGAACTATTCGAATACTTTGTTGAGAATCGAATGCATTCGAATGCACGCCAGAATCGAATACTTCGATTATTTGTATTCGAATAGTCCCTTCACTACCTTGCAGGTGCATTATGTATCTTTCCACGGTACTTATCGGATTTTTTTGTTTCAGCAATTAAAAAATCAAATAACCAAGGAATACCAGAAGAACAAAAGCGACGCGGCGCACCAGCGCGCCAGCAAGCGCTTCTACTACCTGTACGGAAAGCTATCTCACATCAAGCGTCTGGTCTACGAGTACGACCAGAACGTGCGCCAAGACGGTCAGTACTGACGCTGGGGGGCGGCCCGCGGGCCCCTCAGTCCCCCCGCAGCAACGACGACCCAACACCGCCCCCCGTTTTTCGCCGCCGCCGCCGCCGCCGCGCCGCCACTGCAATCGGACGACGAAGCTACATCACGGAACATTTAATTTTCCTCCCGGTATCGATTCAAATGCGCAAACGACAAAAAAAATATCGATGCCGAATAACGAGTGGAACAGTTTGCTGATGCTTTTCTCAACACGATACAAACGAAAGCGAAAATTTTGTGTTTGCAAGTGTTTGTTTTTCTTTCGGAGCTGGAATGGAAATTTGTTCTTAAAAAGTTGTGTTAATTATTGATTTATCAGTTTGGTAATGTGCAACAATGACTGTCGATGAGTGCGGCTAAGTGTTTAGGACTATTGTTTATTATTATTATTATAATTATTAATTGTTGTTAATTTGTTCAAACGCGCATGGATCTGGATTATGGATATCGGCGATAACATCTACTAAATAAAGTAAGTACCTAACATTTTTTGCTTCTAAACTAAGTTTTATCACAATAAAAAAATATTTAAATATCTAATGAAAAAAGCTTTAGGAACTCTTTTTAAACATTACTAAGAAAAAAATAATTTTAATTAAAGTGTGGTTTTTGCGAGGAATAACAACCAGGAAATTATTTCATGGTATCTAGAGATGTTAAATGAAAAAAAATCGGTTTTTCCACATTTTGTTTTTGTAACGAAAAAAAATAATTTTTAACTATTTAAAAAAAATCGCGCATTTATTTCCAAATAAATTGATAAAAATACAAATGAATAATTTAGCATAACACAACAAAGAAGAAACTATTAAAATTAAAAAAAAATAAGAAATAGGAATAGAACCCCAAATACTGAATTAAAATATTTAAAATTATTGTCAACAAGGAATCAACCAACATACTTCTTTGATCAAAAGTTAAGAAAAAATATTTTGAGAAATGAAAAGTTTAGTTTAGCAATTCAGAAATAAAATTAAAACGTTGAACCTAGAAGAAACACCATTCAAATAGAGAATTTTAAAGAAAAAGTGACAATATTTTTTTATTATTTGTTGCTACATTTAATGACTTGAAATATTAATAAATTTACATTGAACTTCGCCATTTTATTTGCAATATTCAATATATCATTCTTATGTTGAAACAACCAAATAGTAAAAAATTAAATTTTTTAGGGCCAGTCAAAATTTTTTATGAAAAATTAAATACAATTGGACGGCTTTCTGCAGAATGGGACCAACCCACACCATGATGAAACCGAGAAAAAAGCTATCAAAGATTTTAATAATTTTAAAATTACCTGTTAATTTTATGCCGATTTTGGACTTACGGAGGTTTAAGGGATATAATTTAATAATTTCATCAGGTGGATTTTGTGATGTTATGTGTAAGGGTGACGAAAAAAATGGGCTTTTGTTGGTTGGTTCCTTTCTGCAATTTATGAAAACTACTATCTGATGTATGAATGTATTTAAAGAAAAGCGACAATTATTTATTTCCAAACAAAATACAACTGATATTACTATTATAATGGCAATATGAATTAATTTTGATTCTATTTAAAATTCGTCCACATCATCTTGCAACCCCACCTCATCTTGTAAGCTACCAAAAAAATTCATCAAGACTTTATATTTTGCAGAAGCAGGAAATCTTTAAAGACTTTGGTAGTGGGTCTACCAGCCTGCTTTTTTACAAATAGATCCAACCCACTTGCAAATATTCTACAGATTCTAATTCTGGATTAGTAATTATTGAATGTTGGTTGGTTCAATGATTAATAGATTTCACTACACTTGCATTTTGGCTATGACCTATTTTGCAGATAAATTATACATACTTAATTAGTTCATAGGCTAAATATCTCGATTTTTTTGGTTTTGTGGGTTGGTTCCTTTCTGCAGAAAGGCGTCCAATTTACACTGTGCGTCAAAATTAACGCATAATAAGTAAAAAAACTCTAAAACGCCTTTACCAATCTTAATGAAATTTTGTATAAAAATACTTCAACTTATATCTCAGTTTACGTGTTCTAGGGTTTTTCGAGAAAATATTTTTAAAGCCCTTTTATTTAATAATAAAAAGAATTTGTTTAACTAAATATAAATTATGCTGTTAAAGACCGTATTTTTGTTAGTATACCCTGAAAATTTTGTACAAATCAAACGAACAGTAACGAAGATACATCGCTTCAAAGTCGGTAAAAATAACCCCTTTTTGATTATTTTCCTAAAAAGTGGTCATTTTTGACGACTTTGAAGCGCTATATTTTAGTTACTGTTAGTTTGATTTGTACAAAATGTTCAGGGTATACTAACAAAAATACGGTCTTTTACAGCATATTTTTTATTTACTTTAAAAAAATTTCACTATAAAAGTTTTTTTTCGAGCGTTTTTTATTATTAAATAAAAGGGCTTTAAGGTTATTTTCTCGAAGACGTAAACTGAGATATAAGTTCAGGTATTTTTATCCAAAATTTTATATAGATTGGTAAAGGCGTTTTAGAGTTTGATTTTTTTTACTTGTTATGCGTTAATTTTGACGCGCAATATATTATATTTCTATCGAGTCGATTTCTGTTTATAGGCCAGTTAAAGTGAATACTATTATACTGGTTAAATATTATTTTTTTAATCGAAAGATCATAAATTTAGTAGTGTATATTCCCGGTGTCATCTTGAAAAAAATACTAACTTTTGGCTAAATAAAATAAAATTCCAACGGGTATAAAAGTATATGATTTCCTATATAAAATCTTTTACTGTATTATTACTATTATTATTAATATACATTTTTTCAAAATTTTATATAGAATCTAGTTTAAGAAGAGATTGATAACACTATGTAACAAAAAAATGTAATTTTTTTATATCTATGGTGACAAAATGTCATTATAAGTATGACATGGGAATTTTCTTGGTAATTTGTTTACCCTTACACCAAAACCTAAATAAAAATTAGTGGCTTTAAATTTTATTATTATCACTGTGAAGGCTAATTTTTATGTGTATTGTAGTAGTTAAATAAAATAAATTGTAAATAACTTTTTAGTGCCAACAATATTTTTTTACTAAAATTAACTAGTACATAAAATAACACTTAAAATAGAAATTGACCTGCAGCTAAAACTAACAGTTCAGATCCAGTAGTCAGTTAGCCCCAATTTTTCATAAACAGTGACAAATTGCAGATAAACATACACTTCCCGATTTTTTGTTACACAGTGTAATCCCTCTCCTTAAAATTCCCTAAAATACTTTATTGCAAAAAACAAAAAAAGCGCGTCTTTGGTTTTTTCAAATTTTGAAAAACAAACGTTTTTTACTTGGTTTGACATCAAAAAGTCCCACATGGATATTTAAATACAAATAATTGAGGTTATCTATCTCAGTTTAATGCCAATTTCGTATTGTTTTCTAAAAATAATACTGTATAACAATACACTGTGGAGTAATATGCTCCCCCAAATCTCGCACTATACCACGTTTTAGGAGGGGTTAATTTAAGTATAACAAATAGTTTTTGAGTAATAAGGGTTTAAAATGTGGTTTTTATTTTTTTCATTTTATTATTTAAAGAATATTTATTTCTGTAAATAAAATTGTTAATAATAACAAAGTTATGATGATTTTTTAACAGAAACTGTTAGTTGGTAGATGCCTTATTTATTTTGTTTTTTAGACTTGATAACTCAAAAATTGCTTGTTGGAATTTTTTCATACTTAAAATAGTGTGGTATGGCGTGTTTCTTAAATATTGTTTTCAGTATTATTATTTTGATGTAAGAGCATTAGCAAATTTATGTATAGATGGAAAATCCACAATCTTATTTAAAATTGCCTAATAATAAAACAAATTAAAATTGTTTCTTGTTAAATTTACAATTTGTTATTTTCTTTTCAGATTTTGAAGAAAACCAATAAAAAAATGGTTGATCAAATCGAGTTTGTGATATCCTCTAGTTCCATCCTTGAAGAAGGCTCAATTAGTTCCTTTGGAGGATAAAATATGTTGGATAATTAATAATTAACATTTTACTATTAAAAAGGTCTAAACTTTAATTTTAGTATATATCCATTTATTTTAATAAAAAAGCGATTTTAGGGGGAAAAACTAAAGCAATATTTTTTAGAGCAAGCACAAAAATTATGGAGTATATTGGAAATTTAATTAAGGAATTGATATAAAATAAAAATTTGCTCTAATCATATTGTTTAGCTTTTACGAAATTAAGAATACGATATGCTTTTAATGGAGACTTTAGACCATTTTAATAATTTTTGTTTTATATTTTTACGGCACAGTCAAATCCAGAAAAAATATTAACATATCCAAAAGTCCATATTTAATAATAGCCCTTCCAAACTGATCCAAAAGTCATATCTATTTTATTCAATTTTAATTAAATGACATATCTTCAAATGATATTTTTTTCACTGAGGTATATAAATTTCGAGTTTTTTCTTAATAATGGTAAATTCACTACTTTATGATTTTTATTTAATTCTTATGTACAAAGTATCTATTATGTTAACTATCTTTTAGATTTTGTTGGATTTTTTATCATTTTTTGTCAATTATTGTTACAATTATTGTTGACGTTATTAAATAGAATGGCGGTACCTTCGTGGTATTTTCTAGGCAATTTGTTTATAGTTTAAAATTGACCATTGTATTGTATATTTGCCATTTATAAACAGTTACCATTTGTTCACATACTTATTGTTTCCATTTTATTTTTTACTTCTTGACATTTTGGCATGCTTCCGAAAATAATTTATTTAATCTTAATCTGTGCCAAACATTTTTTTTTGATATTCTTAATTAAAAAATTGTTTAAGCCAATTTATACACCTGGTATAATATATTATCAATTTATCAGTAATTGATTATTAGTTTGTATGTTAGGGAAAATCAAAAAAATGTAAGAGTAATTCTATTTATTGATTTATTTTTGTTTTATTAATTTATTTACATCCCAATTGTTATCAATTAGCCATATCTGCAGAATTACATATTTTTTACTGTTATTACCACTTGTGCAATCAAGTATAATAGTTTATTCCTACTTGGATAATCAGGTGAATTACAATCAAAAATAAAATCAATTTGGAAATTTTAGGGTATTAAAATTGTAGTAGGTAAAAATATTTTTATAATTATGACAATTTTTTGCTTAAATATATTATAAATATTTAATAAAACGTATTATTTAAATAAAACTCAATTGGTATTTATTGACAAAAACCAAATTGTCCCAAATTAAGATCTCATTTACCATTTCTATAATGTTTTTTTCAACTTTTGTTTTTATTTTTAAAATTATTATAAAACAATATTTACTTCCGTTACTAACTAACAATATTGTTTTAATAATTTTATAAAAAGAAGTAATAATAAAAAAACAAAAGTCTGTTTTATTATATTTTAGGGTGATTAAAAAAATCTACTATTCTTATATCGAAAAATTGGTTGCCATTTTCAACTGATGAAAAACATTTTGTATCTCACTAATAAATTAATATAAAGGTAAGCCCAATACATATTTTTATAGGGAATTAAATGCTCTACAAATAGGTATCCCAGGGTTTATTGTAAACCTATCCGTTTAAAAGATATCTTGTTAATAAAGTTTTGAATTCTTTTTTTTCAAAATTTTATAACATGCAGAATATTTTGAATTTTGAAATGAGTAGTACATATTTTTGTTGGAAATTAACTGCTCTACAAAAAGTTTAAAATAAATCTTGTTAAAAAAGTTTTGAATTCTTTTTTTTTCAAAATTTTATAACATGCAGAGTATTTTGAATTTTGAAAAGAGTACTTAGTACATATTTTTTTTGGAAATTAACTGCTCTACAAAAAGTTTTCTTTTGTTTTTTTGATAAATGTAAATTTTTTAATAAAAAGTATATCCCATATGATCTAGTGGTTAAGATGCCTAGCTCGTAATATGACAAGGGTTTTTTAAACTTTTCCCTGAATAATTCATTTGTATAAATGTTCTTATGTATTTATTTATATGAAAAAAAAATATCAGAAAAAAAGTATAAGATTATTTTATAAAGATATTTAAAAAATCGCTTACATTTATCAAAAAAACTAAAGAAACCTTTCAGTTAATTTTTAAAAAATATGTACTACTTATTTCAAAATCTAATCTGCAAATTATAATTTTTTTTTCAAAACAAAATTGTGACCTAAGATATCTTTTAAATGGCTAGGTTTACGAAAAAATCAAAGAAAACCTTTTTTGTAGAGCTTTCAATTCCCTATCAAAATGTTTATGGGGCTTAGCTATATATTCATTTGTTGTTAAGATACAAAATGTTTTTTGTTGGACTAACGTGAAAATGGAATATCGTAAGTCAAAAGGGATGTTGTAAGTCAAATAAAAGAATAGTAGGATTTTTTGAATCAATTGACAAAAAAATCACAAAAAATGTCTCCATACAAATCAAGTCATATGTGCAAAGCGAGCTTGCGCAGAAGGTGGTAAGGAGGTATAAAATGTGTAATTCTGGTTATACAATAGATCTAATTTAAAAATTAGTTGATAGGTATTTTAACTGTGATGGCCATGCTCATTCCGCTGATTAGAGATAATGATACTATGTTGTCCATTAGCAGTGTCCCTCCTGCCAATCAGACTGTCCGTCAATCGCTATTTGTTAAATTGTGGTTGTGATTGTACATATTATGATCTTTGATGACGACCTTGGCCTGACCTTGACTCATCATGTTTATATAAATATATATACAGTACCATGTATCTATATTATTATTACATATATTATTAATATGTTAGAATATATGCTTAATCAACTCTATTCTGTCTTCTCTCGCTTATAATTTTTGAAAAAAATCAAAGCAATTACGAAAACCAAAAAAAATAAATAAAATAAATAAATGTCGTTAGTCCGGGGTTGTGTAATTTCTCTAAGGTACTGAGTCAAATTTAAATTTATAAAAAACAAATCAAAAAATTATACTCATCCCTACTAAAAACACAATGCCAAGTCAACTTATATATGATGTAATATAAAATAAAATTGAATTAGTATTCACTGTAAACTTGGGTATATAAAGTCCCCATGGTCAATATCAACACTCTGTACTCTCTCTAAAATAAAGTAATTTTACATTTTTGTTCACAACAAATAACTGGTACTTTTTTAAACTTTTTTTCTGTATTTCATGCAATGGCTCTTCTCCACTTAATTTTTGTATGAAAAATCACTTGGTCATAATTAATTTGTAAATTTGACTGACTTTTTGCCATTTTTTAAATATCTATATAGGCATATGCGTCAAATTATATTAAAATGTGTTTTGATACATTTTTAAATATTTAATCATTATTACATTTTAACGTTTCAAAAATTAATCACAAATTATTTTTCAGCCAAAAATAAGATAAAATGGAAAAGTAAAATAAAAGTACAAAATGATTATGACCACGTCATTTCTCATACCAAAATTTGGACTTGCACAGTCTAATTAAATTATAAATAAAGTGTTTGTTTAAAAACAAAATCTATAGTTTATTATTAGATTGGGTTGTGATTATGTTGATCATATTCACATTGTCGAAGATTGTGGTAAAACAAATCGGCACCTTAAAATGACGAAAATACCTTATCTGTAATATTTAATATTGTAGTTATATTCACTTAACAGTGCAGCTGCACTTAAAACATTGTCATTTCAGGTACCAAAATATCATAGAAACGACATTTTCACAAAATCCTTAGTATACCTTTTAATTATTCAAATATATATAGATGAACAGTTTTTTAATTAGGAATATAAAATTTAATTTACAAAAAACTGGAAAATATCACTAACAATATTATTCAATGCCTAGGCAATGATAAACTTTTACAAATAAAATTTTCAAATTTTACTTTTTTTGGATGCAGCAAAGAATTGTGCATTAATGAGTCAAGTTTTCTCTATATAATAAAAATAGTTTTTGTAATTATTACAGTTAAAATTTTAATTATTTCATAATAAACTAAAACGTTTGGGATTTGTTGTTGAATAAAATATAATACCGTTTTTGTACAAAATTGAAGGATCTACAATTTTCAAGTTCATTTTACAAATTTGGATTAAACAATATGAGGGATTTTAAAACAAGTTTATAAAAATACCGGTCCAATTTCCATGTATTTTCTAAGTTAACTCGGCAACGTGGTTTTAGAATGTGTATAATTTGGTAAATTACATGACACAAGGATTAATGTGATAAATGAAAGTATTGGTTCATTGGTTGTTTGGTTTGGTTGGTATTGATTGTATGAGTATTTCCAGTGACCGTACCGTACGTAGACTAACATATTATGTTTTTTCGAGTGCATAATCTGCTCTCTTAGTTGTTCTGTAAAGCGTGCCACTTGTACAAGAGCTCAGCATTGTTAAAAAAAACTACTGGCCTTATATTGATGTCGTTCGTATAATGCAACCACTATGTAAATATTATTTTTACAGTTGTAAATTTTATCTAGTGCTAAACTTCATGTCAAGTTCAAATCAAGTGGCTTAGGTTTTATAACGACATTATGTTTTATTGTAAATTTGAACTATGCAATATATTTAAAGCATCCTAAACATGTGTTTTTATTTTTTCCCTACCCTTTTCTTCACAAGAAACTTAAAAAATAAAGAAATATGTTTATAATGATATATTATGTATCAAGATTTATAAACGTCATTTTAGTAACGAGTTTAATATTAAACATAATATTAAGCACGACCGAAACTTGCGAGCGAGTGTTTATTAACCCAGCTAGCATTTATGATTTCATATTGACGTCAGAATAAAATCAGACGTGAAAATCGTTCGTCACGTCTGTCGAGAATCTGACGTCAGTAGCGCATACGCGAATGTCAGCAATATGAAGTCAGACTGAAATCAGATGTGATTTTTGTTACTGCTGACGTTGGCTTTGAAATCATACTGATGTCAGAATGAAATCAGATGTGATTTTGTAAAGAGACCGGTAGAAACCGGTAGAAAGAAAACTTTAAAGAATAAGTAAAATCAGTCGAGATTTTTGGTCCCGCTGACGTTGGCTTTGAAATCATACTGTTGTCAGAATGAAATCATACTGTTGTCAAAATAAAATCATATGTGATTTTGTAAAATTAATTAAACAAATAATCGATTAATCAAATAATCAATTAATCAAATAATCGATTAATCAATAATCGATTAATTAAATAATCGATTAATCAAATAATCGATAAATCAATAATCAAATAATCGATTAATAGAAAAAAACGATTATTTTAAATAATCAATAATCGAAGTTAAACATCGTCTACCATGTCATTTATAGTTTGACGTACGTTAAAGTATAAATGATATGGTAGAGGATCACAAGTTTAACTTTTGAACGGGAACAGTAAAGACCAACGGCAATTAATACGCCAATAAAATTTGATTGCTGAAAAGTTAATAATTATAATTAATTATACCCAATAAAATTTAAAAATAAATACATTAATTTTTAAATTTTATTGCAATAAAACCATTTGTTTCCTGAAAAAAAATTCCAGTGAAGGAGGAAATCTTAAATTGCTATAAAAAAATTAAAATAAAATACCAAAATTTTTTGATTAAAAATTTAGGTATTTACAAAAAAAAAGATTTCTTAAATCTGGCGCAATTTACCTGGCGCCATTCCTCTATGGTTGAGTTAGAACTTAAAATTATACTGAAAATCATATGTGATCTCATACAGACTCCAGTATAAAATCAGGCGTGCTTTGAAACTTAGAATTATACTGAAAATCATATGTGATCTCATACTGACCTCAGTATGAAATCAGGCGTGCTTTGGAACTTAGAATCATATTGAAAATCATACGTGATCTCATACAGAACCCAGTATGAGAACAAACATGATTTTGAACTAATATTCGCGCCCGATCGAAACTCACGTGGGTATGCATACCCATAACCATGGTTGTTTATTTGTATTTGTCCCATTGTGTATAGTCCTTCGTAGGAGACTTTAAGCCGGAAGTCCGTTCCTACCCCTTACCCGCACAAGCTATAGCTTGTGCGGGTAAGGGGTATTAACGGACCGCTGGCCTAAAGTCCCCTCGACGATACACAATGGGACAAGCACAAATAAACAACTATACCCTATAGATTACATTACATTACATCTAAACGAGAACTATATATAAGCTATAGCTTATAAGCTTAAATAAAATTAGCTTGTAAGCTTGGAACTTATGGAATAGGTACCCTTAACTGAAAATCATGCCTGATCTCATACTCACCCCAGTATGAAATCAGGCATGATTTGGAACTTAGAATTTATATTGAAAATCATGCGTGATCTCATACCGACTTCAGTATTAAATCATACATGATTTTGAATGACTGAAAATCACATCTGCCCTTATACTGACTTCAGTGTGAAATCACAGAGTTAAAACAAAATCACAGATGCTATCTGGGAAAGTGAGTGTTTCAAACTATACTTTATCTACAAATAACAGAAAACAGAATTTAAAGTCAATTTTATTTTATTTATATTCATTTAAAGTCAATTTTATTACTTAAAAATTTGACACCTGTCACCCGAATTAAATCTCGCTTTTCCGAATTTATAATAAAGCTAACTTCAGCCCGTGACTAAAAAGCTTAAAAGCCACTGTTTTCTAACTTCAGCCCGTGACCAAAACGCCATAAAGTCAAAGCTTGTCAATGTAAGAGTTGATAATAGTATATTATGTATCAAGTTTGATAAACGCAATTTAATTTAAATTAATGAGTGTATAGAAAAGTTTATAAACAAGGTCCATACTATACTTTTTCTACAACAAATACTTATTATTGTCTTAAAATGATTTAAATTAAATATTTTTATAGAGCGTCACCTATAAAATCTGTGTCATCGTCAAATGTCTAATTTGTATGTGTTATAAACACATTATAAATCGAAATGTATTCCTTGAAAATGAATTAACAACACGGCCAAGTAAAGAAAATATTTCATAAGAACTTTACAGTGGAGTCCGAGCCCGAATTAGAGTTTTAATTTACTTCCGGCGAAATTAAAAGGTCAGTACAATGTTCATATAAACTTTTCAAATATTGGCGTTGAGAAACTATTTAATACTTTTGTATTCAGATAATAAAATAATTTTCACATTTAGTATTATTTTACAAGATAGGCACTTTATTTTAACGATTGTATGACCAAAGTTCTTTGTGGATGACATTTGACAACTGGCAACTAAATTAATACGAACTTCAGCCCGTGACTAAAAACTTGTTGCTAACTTCAGCCCGTGACTAAAACGCCATAAAGCCACAACTTGTCAATGTGTAAAGGTCATGGAAACATGTACGATAATGGGCGTTTTACAGGTGGAAGTATAAATTTATATATATTTATATTTAAATAGTACTTATATTATGCATCAAGTTTGATAAACGCCATCTTATACACGAATTGCTTAAATTAATGAGTGTATAGAAAAGTTTATAAACGAGGTGCATACTATACTTTTTCTATGACAAATACTTTTTATTATCTTAAAATAATTTAAATTAAAAATTTGTATAGAGCTCCATCTATGAAACAATAGGGGAATCTGTGTGTCACCGTCAAATGTCACATTTTTATATTTTATAAACACAGATTAAAAAGGTTATAAATCGAAATGTATTTCTTGAAAATTGACAGTTTTTCACAGTGGAGTCCGTGCCCGAATTTAAGTTATAGTTTACTGCCGGCGAAATTAACAATGTTCACATAAACTTTTCAAATATTGACGTTGAGAAACTATTTAATACTTTTGTATTAAGATAATAAAATAATTTTCATATTAAGTATTATTTTACAAGAAAGGCACTTTATTTTAACAAATGTATGACATTTGACAACTGTCAACTAACTTCAGCCCGTGACTAAAAACCTGTTGCAAACTTCAGCCCGTGACTAAAGCGCCATAAAGCCACAACTTGTCAATGTGAATTTAAGAGGTCACTTAGTGTCATGGAAACATGTACGATAAAGGGCGTTTTAAAGGTGGGAGTAGAAAATATATAGTATATTATGTATCAAGTTTTGTAAACGCCATTTTAGTTACGAGTTTAATTAAGAACGATCGAAGCTTGCGAGCGAGTTTTTAATAAAAACGAGTGTCTAAAGAAGTTTATAAAACGAGTTGCATACTATACTTTATCTAAGACGAACATAAATAAGATTTTAAAGCCAATTTTATTTGTTAAACATTTGACATCCGTCAACTGTTAACGGATTTAACCTCACTTTTCCCAATTAATATTAAAGATAACTTCAGCCCGTGACTAAAATGACCAAATGCCACTGTTGCTAACTTCAGCCCGTGACTAAAACGCCATAAAGTCACAGCTTATCAATGGTGGAGTAGATAAACTATATTATGTATCAAGTTTTTTAAACGCCATTTTAGTTTAATTAAGCACGAGCGAAGCTTGCGAGCGAGTGTTTAATAAACACGAGTGTCTAGAGAAGTTTATAAAATGAGTTGCATACTTTACTTTATCTACGACGAACATAAATAAGAATTTAAAGCCAATTTTTATTGTTAAACATTTGACATCTGTCAACTGTCAACGGATTTAACCTCACTTTTTCCCAATTAATAATAAAGCTAACTTCAGCCCGTGACTAAAATGACCAAAAGCCACTGTTGTTAACTTCAGCCCGTGACTAAAACGCCATAAAGTCACAGCTTATCAATGGTGGAGTAGATAAAATAAATAAAACGTCATCATAACATGATGAATAAACAGTTTATTTTTATTATTATGTATTATGTGACCAGTGGTCACTGACCACAGAACATAATGACGCGCTTCGAAAAAACGATTTGTTATAAAGCAATTAAAGACTGCTTATGATATGATATGATTATATAGGTATTAAACAGTTAAATTGAAAAATCCGTTAATTTTGGGATTAGACATGTATTTAGTTAATTAATTAATTAAATAATTTGTTAATGATTTTAAAATTAATAACAGGAATAAAATTTTGACCCTTTTAAACTCCGCTACTGTACTGTACTTGTGTTACACAACGCTTGCGCTTTTATATTTATTAAATTGAGGTTAGAAAAATAATAATATTTATCAATTATCTATAATTACTAATTAAAATACCAATAAATTATACATACAAAATGGAGGAGGTATTATAACATTCCTAACATCCAAACTCACCCAAATTACACTTAAAATTTTAGAAAACATCAGAAGAATACAAGGAGCTAGGCAACACTGCTGTAAGGGCTAACAATTTTGCTGAAGCAGTATTACATTACACGTGCGCTATTAAAACAGACGAAACTAATTACACGTTGTATAGTAACAGATCTTTAGCATTTCTAAAAGTGCAACAGTATTATCATGCATTGGAAGATGCGAATGCAACTATAAGACTGAACCCAATTTGGCCCAAGGGGCATTTTAGAAAGGGAGAAGTGGAGTTTGCTTGCAGTCACTTTATGGATGCCTATGAAAGTTATAAGAAAGCTTTGGAGTTAAAGCCCGATGATGTTAATGTCATGGAGGCTTTGAATAAGGCGGCTAGGAGTGTTGCAAAAGAACGAAAAGGTTAATATGGCCTATTTTAGAATTAAGGGCTGTGTTAGAATGACTTTTGCCAATAACAAATAATGCTAACTAGATAGTTCTTAAATTTATTCCCTAAGGTGTGTCCGTAAAGGATGTCACGTTTTTTAGGGGATTTTTGACCCCCCTATTTGAGGTAAAAAATTCAAAAAAGTATTTAATTTTGAAGAAATTGAATAACCCTTGCAAAAATTCATAATTACAATCTTTGGAGGTCACATTTTCACAACCCCCCTCCAACCACTTGTCAAAATTATTTTGCTAGACCCCTTCCTCCCCCCTAGGGCGAGACGTCATTTTTGAACAGTCCCCCCAGTTATATTATGCACACATCAAAAACTCCCACTATGACATTTAAATTCAATTCAATTGAATACCAGTAATTTGGGTGATCTATCTGTCAGCTGACCTAGGTTAACGCTAATTTCGTCCTATTTTATATAAATAAATATAATATTTTTTTATAAATAAAGCTTTAAAAACGTCTTAATTAAGAACATAATATAAATTTTATTATTATTATATTCAAAAAGTAAGAAACAATTATAAACACTATAGGTAACCTCAATTATTTGTATTCAAATGTGAAGGTGGGATTTGATGTACAAGATTACATTTTTAACTTTATTTATAATAGTACACCCTTAAGGGGGAGAAATGCAGTACGAATTCTACACCACACAATAATGCTGGTCATTTCAAGAACAAAAATTGTTAAAATAGATATAAGCATTAAATAAATGCCATTTATAAACTTTAAACTTGGCAACACTTGTAACAAGTTTTAGGGTAAAATGATTTATCCATTTAGGAGTAGTAAAGTAAACAAACAAAATAAGAGACATGTTACCTTACATCCTACAAAGATTTGGAGCTATTTATATTCTTTTTTTTTTGGCTAGCTTTGTTATTTACTTTCTTTGGTTACTTAATTTACTTAAGTTATGACATGTCCATATGTCCATAAAAATTTAAAAAAATTAGTTTTCTTGTTTAAAATATTTTTAAATTATAAATAGGTATATATAAATTGCGAACATTGTAAACATACGAAAATTGTAAAAATGTATTAATTTCTGAAAAAAGTTTAATATCTTTTTAAAATTGTTTGTAAATATTAATATTATTAATTAATAATTGTTAATACAGAGTGATTGAAAACAAATTTCAATTAAAACATCACGGTGTCCCTGAATAACTTTTAATTGAAAGGTTCAGACGTATCCGATTTTTTTTCATATTTTGATAAAAAATCACTTACAAGACAATTTTTTTCAGGATAAACTCAATTCGCTTGGCACTGTTTTAGAAAAATCAATTTTTATAAAAACATGATTTTTGATCAATTTTTTGAGATTTTTAATTAGTGCACTCCAAATAATGACTAACAGCTTTTAATGTATTAATACATTATTTAATTTGTTACATAAAATGTGCAATTCACTAGACTAGTGAACTATTGACATATGTTACTTGTCACATGTCGAAATCGTGATTGAAAATACCCTTGCGTTATTTTACCGTTTTTTTTTTCAATTTGTCGTAGATTTATTTATAAATAAGAAATAAATAATTATATTTGCATTGTTTATAGTATATAGTGAAATGAAGCTAATAAAAAACTATGCATGGACTCACTCGGATAATCGCGAGAGAATTTGTTTGTTTTGTCTTAAAAAAAAAATCTAAAATATGTGAAAAGATTCTGGAAAAAGTTCAAAGCATAGTTGTATATGATGTAGAAGATGAACGATTACCAAAAGTTGTATGCAAAGGTTGTGAAATTTTATTATATAAAGCAGCTAAACAAGAAATTTATAGAAACACGTTAAATTTGCCTGATTTTTCTAATTGGAAATAATTGGGTATAATTTTATAAAAAGTGCTTAAAAACCCATTAAAAAAGAAAAAAAGCGTGTTTTTTTAATGGGTTTATTTTTAGCACTTTTTATAAAGCCCTGTATACTCGCCTGTATGGTTTTTTAAACATAAATGCTTAAAGGCTACAACAATTTAGGTACTTAAAATTACCTCTATAGCAATAGTTCACCATTTTTTGAACACCCTGTATAAATATATTTTAAATGTTTTAGCTGATGAAACAATACCTTGGCTAGGGGCAGGTATAGGAATAATTTTGGGTGTTATAATTGTTATAGCAGACTGCCTATTTACCTTTAAACCTACAGTAAGTCAACATTATAAAAAAAACAAAGATTTTTACTAGCCAATCACAAATTAAAAGTATCTATAGAATTATAACCCTGTTAAGGGTACCGATTTGCATGCCGAAATAAATAAAAGTAGTTAGATATGATATGTTTCTTCTGGACCATTAGTACCTTCGGACGCCATTGGTGGCGTCAATTGCTAAATGTTTTTTTATACTCAAAAGAACACCCCTTAGGGACACCCTGTCAGCTCTGGAGCCGGGGCAAATCCTCTCTAGCATTTTAGATTAATTATATAAGCAAAAAGGTTAAAAATTGCGTGACGTAATATGATATATATATCATATATACGATATATATGTAATAATGTGAATGGCCCCTAACTACTGTATTAATTACTAAATGAGAAGGTCCATTGCAAAACTCGGATATCCACTTTTTAATAAAAATGAGTTAGTGCCACTAACTTTGTAGTGTCTGTACATTTAACATGTAGCCCCCTATAATATTCTACCTTATTCCATTTAAAATTCATTTACAAATTGACTATCGTTCCGAAACTTGCCTTATCTATTTGTTTATCATGCAGAACTCGGCTTATATGTATGTAACTTACCTTTTTAATCAACATATATAAATGTTATACTTATGAGCCATTCCACGCGTAACGGATACTACAGTTGCCGTGTTTTTATTTACAAAATAATATTGTTCTATTATATTACCAATGTCAAATTTTTATAAATAGTTCTAAACTTAAGCTGTTTAACAAGGTTTTTATTTGGCAAAATTAGGTATCGTGGTTGACTCTTAAATTCCTTAAAAACTAATAATTTAAAGCGTAACGGTCGGGACTTTGCAATAGTCCCGCCCGTTACGCTTTAAATTATTAATTTTTAAGGAATTAAACAGTCAATCACGATACCTAATTTTGCCAAATAAAAACCTTGTTAAACAGCTTTAGTTTAGAACTATTTATAAAAATTTGACATTGGTAATATAATAGAACAATATTATTTTGTAAATAAAAACACGGCAACTGTAGTATCCGTTACGCGTGGAATGGCTCTTATGCCTATTTATTTTGTTTAAAGTAATCTGTTGGCCTGATATGCCTTAGTAATCACGTAATTTTGCTGAAAATGGCATAACATGGTTAAGCCGAGTTTTGGAATGCACCCCCTCAAATATTGTACAGAGATATTGATATTGAGATTTCTGTGACCTGAAGAAAATGAACAATCGGTATTAAGAAATAATTCAATAACTTTTTTGTTACAAATAAATACTTCTACTTCTTTTTTACATAATTTTGTTAACTGTGTTACTAAGTTTAATTAATTAAGTTAATTTTAGTTGAAAAAATAAGTTTTTTAATTTTTCACTTTGCGGAAACATTTCTATAACTTTCAAATAAAAAATGTTTGTTCTGTGTTTACCTACAGGTGTTAATTGGGACTAAGGACCTAAGGACTATAATTAATTTTATTATAATAGGAAAAAATCATTTATTTTTAGATTTTTACCATGGGTATTTATAATGATAAAAATGTTTAAAATATCAATAAAAGATTTTAAAAAATAGTTAAATTAAAAGTAAATATTTACAGTTAAAAAATTATTATATAATTAAATGTTCAAATTCAAATTTGTTCATAATTTAAAATTAGCTTACCAAAATGTTTATTAAATTAAATAAATTAAAATAAAGAATGCATTTTTATAAAAAAAAAAAAAGATTTTTTTACCAAACTTGGGATTTAACAATTTAAGGATTTCTTAATACCGTACAAATCATAGGATAATATTAATTTTTCTACTCCTATTATTGACATTATTTGAGTTTTTTTCGTAAATAGCAACAACGGGAATATTGAACTCATTATTAACGTTGTTAGGCATCTGTGATTGGCTGATTTTAATATTCACAGTTATTTGAACCAATCGGGTTTTAAATTGGGAAACAGTAAGGTTAACAGATTTTTTTATATGCATTGGGGTGACTATAATTATAGTCACCATTAATGATTAAAATAAATTAATATACTATTATTTTATTAAAATAAATTCTTGAAACTACTTGACATTTAAAATATAAAAAATTAAGTAGTTATATGCCAATATCTAATTTTTTTAATTTCCCTAAAACGGTTTAATTTTTAATTTAGATTTAATATGATCAAAAATAAAGATTTAGGGACTTTAAATAAATATATTTCAAAAAAATCCTATGTTTAAGGTTGTTTATGAGGTATTAAATATAAGCGTAATTTTTAGCTAAATTTACTTTTTTAAAAACATACTTTGTGGGTTCATAAAATTTAAAAAAGAAGTAATTTTATTTTTACCATAAAATAGCCATTATAAAAACTTTATAAAAAGGATTTTTTGCCGCAACCTGGATCCTACATGAAAGTGGCACCCCCTTGAATTTCCAAAGTGGCAAGAGCTCCGGTTTGCCCCCTTAGATCCGGGGCTGCACCCTTTATAGGTTTGAGTTATGAAATAGTATATTTTTGTGTCTTGTGGGAGAAAGAGGAGATTCTTCGAGCGTGGAGTTTAACATGCAAGTGGAAACTCCTCTTTTGACCAATAGTCGCACACAATATTTTATTTAACTACCGCAAGGAATTTAAATCCAATTTTATTTGATATTTTATCTGAGATTTAACAACTGTCAAACATTTTTAACCTTACTTTTTTCAATTTTAACTTAAAGCTACCTTTAACTTGTGGGCCAAATGCATTCCTTATTACAATGTCCAAGTGAAGCATAGTACCTATACAAAAAATATAATGGATTGTTTTAATTTGTGTACGGCTCATTAAAAAAACAAAGTTAACATACTATGCATTTTAGCATCCGATGCTTATGGCTTTTATAACAATTATTATATCCATGATTGGTTATTGTATAGCAAGATTTTATAGATACTGGATTAAAACACAAAGAAGTAGTCTACTGAGTCCACCAATTGATTTGCGTAAGTAAAAATTACAAAAAATAAAATTTATAAAAAAAATTATAATTTTTTAGTGGGAGAAGAAAATGAAAATTCCGAAGAAAACCCAGAACATCGTACTTATAGTCCAAGATATTCTAAATCGCAAGCCCGTCAAAGATATAGAAAAGGCAAATTGTAAAGTTTCTACGAAAATTTTAAATTTTAATTCTATTTTGTACCCAAATTTTGATTAGGTAGCTAGAAATGTGGCGAGACTTTGATTTAATGCCAACACGGAAAAAAGAAAACATTAACCATTAATGCACAGAACATTAATGCAGTCAATATAGTGTTCAAAATCACACAATTTCTTATGTATTACTTTAACAACAGCAATAGTAACTTTGGTCGCATCAATAAGTACTGCCAGGAACTATATATAGGCTCACTATATCTCATGTGCCATCTTCAGGTCTTTTCTGCTGGGCTGCTGTTGCTGCTCTGCTGCGAGTTGATCTTGTTAATCTGAGTGGCGTTTTGGTGGTTGTAAGAGCTGGTTTCCATGCAGTTGGTACTCACGTACCATCCGTGAAGCCATTGAAATAGAAAAACGTCCAAGAAACCTCAATAAAAAAAAATATAAAAACCCTGTTGTAAATGACCGATTAATTCCTGTAGAAACCAATTGAAGTATTGCTTGGTATCAATGGGTCTGAATTGGACTTACTTGATTTAATTGGGCGCGATAAAAAACAAATTGGTTTTTACTGGTATTTTCTATGATGGAAAGGTAAAATTAGAATTCAATTGGGCATTTCCAGTGTAAGATTCGAAAAAGGAATCTGCTAATTGGTTATTCTCAATACTTTAAAATATGGAAAAATCCAATTAGGATTCTACTGTTTTTTAGCGGTTTCGATTGGATAAAGCTACCTATAGGTAATTTCCAATTGAATTCAATTGGGCATTCCCAGTGTAAGATTCGAAAAATCTGCTAATTGGTTATTCCCAATACAATACAAATATCGCAAGAGGGCTCTCGTGTAGCTGCGCAAAACCAACGAGGTTGAGACGCCATCATAAAGAAAAAACAACACAAACAAGTCTTGGGACGCCATTTATTAGCGGTTTTTTTATTAGTCGATTTCTGTGTTAAGTGCCTAGTGATAGTAGTGTACTTATATCTTAAAAAAATGTTTATATGTGTAAGGTTTAGGGACGATGGGCGTAAGAATGGTTGTCACAGCGGACAAAATAAAAAAATTTGACATAAACAATATCAACTTTGACCATGCCTACAAACATCCTTTGCAAGAAAGACAAAAAAATGATTATAACCGAGTAATTTTATTTATTTTTTATTACTTTTTTGTGATAGTAAGTTACATGTATCAATACATACATATATCACAAAAAAAATAATAAAGAAATAAAATTACTCAGTAACAATAAATTTTTTGTCTCTTTTGTGAAAAATGAATTCTGGTTTTTACCCGGTTATCGTTCTGGGATCTAAAATTATTTTTGAATGAAAAATAAACTGGTAGGTATTTTCTAATCCAAATTTAAAAATATTAATTGGTTTTAATTGGTTGGAATGGGTTTGGCGCTATGAATTACCAATTCATTCCATGTGCATATCTATTGGATTTAGCCAATAGAGACAAGCATAGGCATGGATTGGTATTTTCCAATCCAAGCCGCTGACTTCATTGGAACTTACCAATAGGAATGCAACTGAAATAAATTGGTGATTTAGAGCGCCAAAACACATTTCAAACCAATTACATATTTTTTATTGGATTCTATTGGTCATTTACAATTAAATTAAATTTTTAATAGCTCAGTACGATTCCAGAATAAAATGTAAACTTAAATATTTTATAATTACTTTGATGCTTGTTTGTGGAATAAAACTATTTTTTTTTAAATCAACGTAAATCTGTTTTCGTTTTAAATAACATTTTTGTTTATCCTGTAGAAAGTTTCGCAACCCTTGCAGGGGTGAACATTAGTTTGCTTAAAGGGTTTTAATTGTTTACGTTTAAGCAAATCATTTAAACGTCGATATTATGATTAAAGTAGGTCAACAACGTCCTTTGTGTTACAGAGCTTCGTTTGCCCTTTTGTATATTCATAAAAATAATAATGGGGCCATTGAAATTTTCGCGTGGGGTGGCTGAATTCTCAGGTACGCCACTGCCATAGTCATCTAGGGCTGGATGCTCCCGTGGACGATTTTTCGTTAGTTCCGCGCATTAGGTCACTCGATGTGTAGTAGAATAAACTAATAATAGCTATATATATATAATTACTGTTCTGCGCATTAATGGTTACTGTTTTCTTTTATTCGTGTACCCAATTATACCAAAGGTACACAGAAAATATACAAATTATGTATTTGGGCCGTTCTTTTTTTACATCGACAATTACATGTCTCCTCAAAAAAAATAAATGAGGATTCTTAAGAATACGGAATTCCGTTGTACGTTTTTTTATGATTTTTTTTTATAATAGTAAATATCCAATATAATATATATAATATAATATATATATATTATATAATATTAACATTGCATTTCTATTTCTATTAAATTATTGTGACATAGACTATGCATTAGGGTGTCCCTTATTTTTATTTTTTTTACGCATACCCTCTAATTATATTTATTACTTGTTTATATACTCCCAGTAAAAATTTCAGCTCATTCTATAAACGGGAACGACTTGCATCTGAACCCTCCGTTAGCCAACGTTAGGCGCGCGGTATTTTGTAACACGAAACATTTAAAAAAAAAGATATACTTCATGACTGTATTTTTTTAATTTGTTTCACTAATTTAGTTGATTTTATCCCTTAAATATATTAATATAATTAGTATTGCTAAAATATACTGTTATATGAAATTTCAGCTTTTTATAAGCATTTCTTTTCTTGATGTCCTCCCAAAAATATTTCAGACAGTTTAATAAGTTTTCGGTAGTCATCTCTCACAATAGACTCTTTTAGTTATTTAGAGTAAAATCCATTAAGTTTATCAATTTCAGAGTTTACGACCTATTCACCAGACCCTTCCGGATAACTAGCCACTCCCTGTGAAAATATACATTTTTATTAAAGTATACACATAAATAAAACTATATTTTAACATTTGTCAATAATTTATAGTATAAGGGTCACATAATAACAAACACAAAATGACTTACGATCGAAGTCCTTGCGACCAACCGTGTTACAAAATACCGCGCGCCTAACGTTGGCTAACGGAGGGTTCAGATGCAAGTCGGCACGGGTTCCCGTTTATAGAATGAGCTGAATTTTTTACTGGGAGTATATAAACACGTAATAAATATAATTAGAGGGTATGCGTAAAAAAAATAAAAATAAGGGACACCCTACTATGTATTTAAAAACCGTGACGAAATTTTATAACATACAAATAAGTCATGTAAAAATAATAAAGTAAAACATTTTTGTGACGAAGTTGTTTACGGAAAAAAATTCGTTTGTTTCAGATGCGTAGGGGATTTGAACCCCCCTTAAAATGTGAGAAACAGTTGTGTTTATATTTATATGTTTATATTTATAGTTTAATTTAACCAACCCAGGCCTGGAATTTACGATGGTTTGTGCAATAATTCACAATACATTTCATTAAAGAAAAGACAACCATATATTTTTTTATCGAACCCTAAAATAAATCGTATTGTCGGTAAAAAAGAAGAACGTCCCTTTTATTACATACAAGTATTTAGAAATTTTGTATAAATCAAATTGTAATTTAAAATTGTGTAACGAATTATTATTATAATAATGCATTTCTATTAATAATTTTATGGTTCATTGGGTAATTGAAGGGGTTGATTGATAAAGGTGTTAACATTTTAAACCAAAATGTGGTAACTTTTATGAGTTTGTTGTTTAGTTACCACATTTTTGCATAATACGAACATCTTAGTTATAGTCACTCTGTGGTTATAGTCAAGGATTTTGTACAATCCTTGCATACGAGGTGTGTTTAGAAAATATCGGGAATTTTCTTTTTTTGAAACAAATATTTATTTATTCGTCTACATTAATGTTGTCGCCTTCAATATAGTCCCCATTGGATATTATGCACATGTGCCAGCCCTTCTTCCAATACTCGAAACACTTCTTTAACTCGATCTTTGGAATAGCCTTTAGTTCTTTCAGCGATGCGCTTTTAATGTCATCTATGCTTGCAAAACGACGGCCCTTTAAGGTTTTCTTTATTTTTGGGAATAGGAAAAAGTCAGACAGAGAATATGGAGGCTGGGGCATCATTACAGTATTGTTTTTGGCCAAAAATGTTGTTCAAAATTTAACAATTTTGGAACAAATTTTGCTGCCACGCGTTTCATACCCAAAACATTCGAAAAAATTTCATGGGATGAGCCAATCGATATACCAACATCATCAGCGACTTCTCTGATGGTTTATAACCATTTCTTCCACTTTTTCCATGTTTTTATCGGTTGTTAATGTGCTTGTGCGTTCGGGGCGTTCGTCATCTTCAACGTCTTTACGGCCATCTTGGAAACTCTTATACCACTTGTAAACTCTTGTTTTACTTATAGCAGACTTACTATAGGCCTTTGTTAACATTTCACAGAATTTATTTCATTTTCTAAGTAAAATTGGATACAAATTCTTTGATCCATTTCTTTTAACGAACGAAAAATCGCCGAGCTCATAAAACACGTCTAACCTTAGCGGCTGCCACAGACAAAGTAAACAATAAAAACAGCTCAAGTTTTTATCATACTTCGGGGGCATGTATACCAACATAATAAAGAAAATTTTATGACAAACGGACCCTCCGAACACGCGAAATTTAACAATTCCGTTATTTTCTGAACACACCTCGTACATTCCACAAATTGATGACGCAACGGTAAACATTCGCCGTGACGACTATACGCCAAAGAAGCATCGCTAGTGGCCCCATCACGTGGCCGTCATCATCCTAACAATAAAGCTTTTAATAATCAGCTGTCAAACAAGTATGTTACAAACGAGTGTTTTTGAGATAAACGCCGAAAAATTTTAAAAATATCGAGGAAAAAATCGTGAAACGATTTGTTGTGTAAGCGTAGCTAGGCCTTTTCGGGAGGGCTGTAGCCCCCCAATCCGGTCTCCAGCCCCCCCAATGACATGCACTACTTGGTTTTATATATAATAATTTTTATCATAAGTGTCTTTCGGTTCGCTTTTTTTAAAAAGTTTTTAAATGAAAAATGTAATGTAATATTATATATAATATTAGAGATGTAAAAAAACGGTTTTTTTCGAGATGTGAAAAAAAACTAGAAAAAAACGTTTTTTTTTTTGTTTTTTTTCAAATCCGCTACAATAAAGCATATTCTGTCAATAAATAACATCAATCTTAAAAAATGAAGTAATTTTTCAAAATGAAATTTTGAGTAAGATGTTTAATAATAATAAAGTGAAATGGAGAATATAATACATTTTTCATTATTAAAAATTTTGACCGAGACTAAAAAATCTGATTTCTTATTATTTGGTAGTATACACATGAATACACATAAGAAACCAATAGAAATGTAAAACTTCTACACTAATAGAAAAAATTAAAGGATAAAATTTTTTTTTGCCTTCTTTTTTGGTCCACGGAATGTTCCGACCACCAATGAATAAATGTTCTACAAGAATTTGCTATTGTTTTTTTGAAAAAAAAAATTTCATGTACAGGGTGATCCCCTATAATGTCGCCCCCCTTTAACTTTTTTATTTTAAGTGTCCCAAAAAATTTAAAAGTGTGGTTATGTAGGAACTAAAAAATACTTTTTTTCTATGTTTAAAGAAAATTGGAAAATTGATCAGTATACAGGGAAAAACAAAAAGTTTATTTTTTTTTCAATGGATCACCCTATATATGTATTTATTTTTCGATTCCTTGTAAAATTCTAAGCATATTTCATATAACATACCATATACCTAAACTCAACCGTTTCTGAAATATTTAAATTATTTTTAAGATAATAAGTTGAAATAGTTTGTCTTTTTCTTTCTGAGTACGCCATTTTTACTTATTAAACAAGGCATATTGACATAGTGTCATTATAGTAATTTATTTTCAATAAAAATTTCGGTATACTAAGGCTTCTTGATTTCTAACAGTTTAAAAAAACATTTAATGATAACATTTCGAATGCGAATATTTCAGAAACAGTTGAATTTAGGATATGATTTGTTATATGAATTATGCTCAGAATTTTACAAGGAATCGAAAAATAAATTCATATACAGGGTGTATCACGGTCGATGGTAGGTTAGACGTTTATGGAGAACGGCAAAAGATTTCGAATTGAAATTTTTATAGCAATTATAATATCATTTAAACTATATTTCTAAATAATTTTGAACAAAATTCCTCTTCCGGTTTTAACGGAAGTGATATCAACTTTGTTATTTTAAATGGATCATCATAATTTTTTTTACATTTTTAAATTCCTACTATCATTCCTTATAAAATCGCTATACCATGTCCTATACCTAAACTTAATAGTTTTTGAGTTATTACTTTTTTTTGTAAAATTCGGTCAGTTTCACCCTCAACAAAAAGAGCTTATAACTTTTTTATTATTAGGTTTGCTGATATCCGGTTGGATTTATTGGAATCCTGAAGTATTCTTTTAAAGATTCCATGTAATTTATTTTAATATTTCTAAAAAGATACTTGATAAAAAACAATGTGAATGTAGCTAACTTAAAACAGCAATAACTTTTTTATTTTCAATGGATCGCCCTGTATATTTTTACATAATTAAATATGAAATTATAATACCTTTTCATTGATATAACTATTCCCTATACCTAAAGTTAATAATAGCAAAGTTATTTTACAATTCCTAGAGTGATCCATTGAAAAAAAATAAACTTTTTGTTTTTCCCTGTATATTGATCAATTTTTCAATTTTTTTTATACGTAGAAAAAAAGTATTTTTTAGTACCTACATAACCACACTTTTAAAATTTTTGGGAGACTTAAAATAAAAAAGTTAAAGGGGGGGCGACATTATAGGGGATCACCCTGTACATAAATTTGAAAAATCATGAAAAAAGTGCTTTTGGTAGCTTTTTGAAGAATCAAGCGCTGAATCAAAAATATTTTAGGTAGTTAATTTTTTTGGGACCAAATCGCGGCATAGCGCGAGACTGTATTTACATTTACTAAATGTCATTTAGTGGTTTATTTTAGTCCATTAAGTGGACTGGAAACATAAATAATTAGGCAAATGGGACTAATCTTGAAAAAAAACGTCAAATATGAAAAAAAAAACATTTGAAAAAAACAATGAAAAAAACCCTGAAAAACACAAAAAAAATGGACCGTTTTTTTTCAAGTCGCATCTCTAGGCATGATACAACATGCTACTGTATAATTATATTGTGGAGATTATTGAAACGCTCCACGAATACAAATCTATACCGTGGCGAGATTTAGAAAACCATATTCAAACGTGGCGTCATCCTATACACTTCTATAATTTTCCGTTTGCTAGCACCTTTAACACCTTTATCCATCATCCGCTTCAATCCAATATTGTAGTGTAAGCTAGTCAAAACTGCTCCTTTGTAATTTTCATTTTAAAAATATATAGGTTGCATTTAATTATACAGAAGAAAAAAAAACATTGAAAAAAGAACGATTTTTTAAGCTTGAAAAAGTTTTGTTAATGATAGGTATGGTATAAAATATGTATGTATATTTTGTTTTGAGTGTTCAAAACCCTTGTATACTTTGGTTTTATTTCGTTATAAGTACTGCATTTATTGCTAAATTTTGTATAAAAAGGAAAATTTAATATTGACCACCAACAAGTGGTTTTGTGTATTTCATGTTTTTTTAATTAAAAATAATCAAAAAGTATTAAACTAATAATAAAAACCACTTTTTCTTTGTTATCTTTAATAAAAATAATAAAAATTAACCGAGTTTTACTTTCTTTCTTATATTTTTATAATATAATAAATCTTTAATTATGAAAAAAAATAAACAGTATTATTTCCGTTCTTTTTTTTAATAAATTGCATTTAAATATTTAAAATTGGATAAGTTAAAAAGGTTTTGGCTACCCCTCGTATAAACATTTTTGAGCCACCCCCGTATTATTAAAATTTAGGACACTTCTCATGGCAGCTAATCAACCTTTGCGTAAATAGTAACGATGATATTACTCATAATAAGTACCTAATCTTCGTTTTCCACATACGCCGTATTGATAACAGTTACACTTTACCTACTTTTATATATAATAAGCAGCTGAATAAATTTCGTATTTAATAATTTAAAACCCGCCCAATCGTGGTTGGAAAGCGGTAATGGCAGTAATAAGATTACGAATGATAATGTTTACAAGATGAGAACAATTTTATTAATGTGGAAATAAAAAAGGAGCATTTAAATCATTCAAATGTGGAATACGAACGTAGGCGATCGCAGCGTTCGGGAAAGTTCGAGACACATATATAGGAACGCGCGCTAGATTTTCACAAACATTTTCTGAGGACGGGACGATGCAGACCCTCCTGTATTTGTCAACAGTGCGAAGTTTGTAGCAGCCGTTAGGAATTATTCTACGACATGGAAGTTAAGGCTATAGCAACATCACGACTATTTGTAACATCTTCCGTGGAAAATAAAGACGATTTAGAGGAGGTAAATGTCTTAAAATCATTTTATTAGCGAATGATGGTGCTTTGTCCGCCATTGTGAATCTCGCCCTGACTTCTTATTTTATTTGTATTCGACGCTGTCAGTGCCATTTTCGCGGCTAATTCAAAAATTTCTTGTCTGATTTCAGAAATATGAACGTAGTTACCAGTTCCTTCAGAGTATCACTGGTGGATTAAGTGATAAAGATGCACATGAGGCCCTCAACAAGGCACTTGTAAAAGAGAAAGGTTATGAAGAAGTGTCATTTGGACTTTTAGTGACAATACTAACAGAACCTCACAATGCTGCAAAGAGTTATAGGGACTTGACATTAATTACACGTGACGGTTTCGGCTTAATAGTTACCAGTCTTTCAAATTTAGTGCTCGAAAGGTATCTGCGATTCAATGAAGTGGTTAAATTGCAGATAATATGGCTTATGCGAGAAATGATCAAGAATTCAGTTGGTGGTGTTGATAATCTAGTTTGGAATTTGATGCGGCACGCTGCAGGAGGTGATGTATCTCAAAAGAATATTATGCTTACAGAATCTTTGGTTGATATTTTCATAGACTACAAAAATTGGTTATTTAATTTTCCTATTTTAATAGCTTCGGTAGTTTATACATACTTGAGGCTAATAGAGGACCACCATGCCCCCCACTTGGCCAGCTTACGACAAAAAGAGGTGGCTTTTTTAATATCTGTTATGCGAGAACATTTTAACGAGTGTTTAGTTATCGGGAGAGACTTGGTGAGGCTGTTACAGAATGTTGCTAGAATACCGGAATTTGAACTTTTATGGAAAGACATTTTATTAGCACCAAAAACTTTGTGCCCCAATTTTACAGGCGTTTTACAATTACTACAAATCAGAACTTCCAGGAGATTTTTGCAGTCGCGACTGACACCGGAAATGGAGAAGAAATTGGTGTTTCTCACGTCTCAGGTGCGATTCGGTAACCACAAACGATATCAAGACTGGTTTCAAAGGCAGTACCTCGCAACCCCGGAATCTCAAAGTCTCCGCTGTGACATAATTAGGTTTATCGTGGGTGTCATACATCCAACAAACGAGCTGCTGTGTTCGGACATAATTCCAAGATGGGCGGTCATTGGCTGGCTGCTGACCACGTGCACGTCGACTGTGGCGGTGTCCAACGCCAAATTGGCCCTGTTCTACGACTGGTTGTTTTTCGACAGCGAAAAAGACAATATAATGAACATCGAGCCGGCCATTCTGGTGATGCACCACTCGATGCGGTCCCACCCCGCCGTTTCCGCCACCCTGTTGGACTTTTTGTGCCGGATCATTCACAACTTTTACCCGCCGCTGGCCGAGAAGGTAAAATCGGGCATTTTCTGCTCTCTCAGGCAAATTCTGGATAAAAGGGTGCTACCCTCCCTTCTACCTCTGTTCGACAACGTCAAACTGGACAGGGAGTTGAGGAACATGGTCAGGGAGACCTTCAAGGAGTTCTGCAATAACATAGCGCTGGAATCTTCCTCGAAACTGGATGATTTGAACCCAAGCCCCATGGGGAATTATGAGGAAGACGGGCACGACACCGTGATTAACAACCACGTTATGGATAACGAGCCCACGTTTAGCGACGAAGAGGACGAGCCGGCGCTGACGATAAACCATCCTGAAGACGATACCGACGATGATGACATCCCGCTGTCCAAGGTGCGTTTGAAGGAGAAGGGCGACAAATCGGACGACAGCATGGTGGAGGGTCCAATTGGGGAGACGCTGAGCAAGCTGCAGCAGGAGACCAACATGGAGAAGAGGTGTTGCATCATGGAGACCTTCGTCGAGCAGCTCCTGGAAGAGGAGGAGGAGGACGAGGACGATGATGAGAAGATGCCGAACATTGCGAAGGTGCTTTGCAATTGCATCCAAGGAGACCTGAAGGGCGAAATTTTTCCGGGGGATTCCAGGGAAGAGGGCCTTTTGGATAGTATTAAATCTCCGTTGTTCGTTATATTTAAAACGTTGTACCGTTTAGGCAGCAAGGATGAAGCTAGCAAGGATATTCTGAATAGATTAGCGGCGGAAATGCACAACCACATACCGGGCTTAGGATATTTAATTTTGTATTTTTTAAAAGTGCAAATAAGGACAGAAAACAAAAAAGAAGACCAAACAAAGGCAAGTGCACTTAAAATTAGTGTTTATAAGGATTTTTGTCAAACAATTGCAAAGAAACTGGACCTGTGTTTATTCGACGACTTAACCACTTGCCATGTCAGTGATACGAAATTGATGATGTGGATTGTGCCGGATTTATACAGAGACTTTAAACAGCAAACGTTAAACAATGCTCAAATATTACGGGTGATAATTTCGGCGATCGACTGTCGACAACTGCAGACGTTAGTCGGTAAGGTTTTGCAGGGACATTTAGTTATGTTCAAAAGTGAAAACATATTACCTCTGATGAAAACTAGCCTGTCGTGGGAGAGCATAGAACAGCTATTTTTCTGGCAACTAGTTAACGCCCACGACATATCCATAGACATTCTTCTACCCTTAATCAACGACTTGGACTACGAGCGACACGCGGAAGCTCTAACGGCAATCACGCTTATGCTGAAGCAAGAGAAGCCGAACGCGGAATACGTGAAGCAACTATTCTCCCGAGACATTTGTGATAGCAACGGCGACCACTTCGTCTTCACCGTCATCAAGTACTGGTGCGACGAGTACATCGACAAGGTGGCCGAGCTGATCTCCTCGCTGCTGAGCACGCGCTACCCGTCGACGTCGCCCAACAAGCGAAAACGGCCCGGCAAGTCGCTGAGCGGCGCGACGGTGCCGAGCGCCGACCAGGTGCTAGGCCACCTGGAGCAGCTGCGCATAATCTGCGAGAAGCACGACTGCATGGCCATCTACACGTTGGACTCGATGCAGAGGGCGCTCAGCATCGCGCAGAACAACAGCAGCGACGGACAGCGCAAGCGGTTCAGCGAGCTGTTCGCCTTGATGGAGGAGGAGGAGGAGATCAGCGCGACCAAGAGCCGATCGCAGGGGAGGGGCAGGAAACCGGCCAACAAACCTGCCGCCAACAAGAGGGCGCCCGTCAGGGACGTATCGGATTCTTCGGAGGAAAGTAGCGAGGTATATTGGAGTGGCTCGAATATCCGCTCTTTTCCAAATTAATTTGATAACACTGTGCAACACAAAAAATGAACTGGGATCAAATCTGAAAAAATCGAATATAGGCAACCCCCAAAACAAATCCTTTAAGGGGTTTTACCAGTTTAGCTCGAATAATGGAGATATATAAAAGCCCCTAGAACTTAAAAAATATGAATTTTATAGAAAAATGCTCGGACACGTCGATTTTTATTTTATATGACGCAATTTTCAGTTGATTTTGAATCTTTTAGTTTTTCACAGATTCACCCCCGGCCACCCCACTTTTTTTTTTAAAGAAAACCGACCCTTTATTATACCGAAAAAGTCGTCAAAAGTTAAAAAAGTGGAACAGTTTTTGAGATATAGTAAATTTTCCATTTAATATGGAATTGACTATATCTCAAAAACTGTTCTACTTTTTTAACTTTTGACGGTATTTTCTGATTCAGGGGAAAATTTTACATAAGAATTGGCTGTTAAATTTTGGGATACCATGGTATTCCATGGTTAACCATGGCACAAGTGAAAAAGCAGCCACTATTAACTATTAAATTAGTTACTTTTGACTAATTCATTTACATACATTACCTGTTATTTAAAGTATAACAAAGGGTCGGTTTTCTTTAAAAAAAAAAGTGGGGTGGCTGGGGGTGAATCTGTGAAAAAATAAAAATTTCAAAATCAACAGAAAATTGCGTCATATAAAATAAAAATCGACGTGTCCGAGCATTTTTCTATAAAATTCATATTTTTTAAGTTCTAGGGGCTTTTATATATCTCCATTATTCGAGCTAAACTAGCAAAACCCCTTTAAAGATTAGTTTTGGGGGTTGCATAGATTCGATTTTTCCACATTTCATCCCAGTTCAAATTGTAAGGTCAAAATTTGTCGCACAGTGTAATAGAGTCAAGCCACGTCAAGTGGGACCAGAAAATTTCACGAAATCACCGATTTTGAAAATAATCACATAATTGTGACCCACATGTCACATTAAAAAAATTGTTTTGAAATTCGGTTTTTTGTTAATGCTATTTAAGTTAATAATTTTGTCAAACTTAAGAGCCCGGTTAAATTAAAAAAATAGAATCTCTTGGAATACTCTGTATAATTGAATTAAATTTTACACACTATTGTAGCAATCTTTAGACTATAGACTTGTCATTTAATTAAGGTAAATTTGTTTAAATACAAGAATTTTGCATACATTTATTATAAACAATTGAAATTTTTTATGTGTTCTTCACGCTGAAAAAAAAAGTATCTTGTGTCATAATATGCGGCAAACATTCCCGTTTAATAAAATGTACTCAAAAATTTGTCCTTTATATCTTATTCCGGAGATATTAAATTTTTTGTCCCGCTGTGCGTTCGATCAGTACGCGTCGGTTCTAACGTTCTAACGGAAAGCTGTGCTAACGGGCTAGCAGCGAAGCGCGCTGCGTACTGCTCAAGCGCACAGCGGGAGAAAAAAATTAATATCTCCGGAATGACCTATGAAGGACAAATTTTTAAGTACATTTTATTAAACGGGAACGTTTTCCGCATATTATGACACAAGATTAATTCTTTTTCAGCGTGAAGAACATAAAAAATTTCAATTGTTTATAATAAATGTATGCAAAATTCTTTAATTTAAACAAATGTACCTTAACATTACTAAAAAAGCGAATTTCGAAACAATTTTTTTACTGTGACATATGCGTCATGCCTACTACACAATAATATGATTATTTTTAAAATCGGTGATTTCGTGAAATTTTCTGGTCCCACTTGACGTGGCTTGACTCAATATCAAAAACATAAGTCTTGGTGAAAAAAGTATGTGTGGAATTCCACGTGAATTCGACACGAAAAAAACCCATGCCATTTCGAAATTACTCGGCAATTTTTCCATGGGTACCCTGACTCAAAATAAAAATTCAATTTTAATTTTAGCACGGTTTATCAATTGTTTTTGGAGGTATGATTTTTTAAATTTTCATGATTATAAGGATTTTGCCAATATATCATTGATCATAACTTTGGTTCCAATTGAGCGATTCCGACGAACGACCAATCATTTTTCTTGACTTGAAACAAGCTATTTGAAATAAATATTTTTGATACTGTGGCATACCGGCACACTATGATTTTTTTCTTCGCAAACTAAAAATCCATTTTCTACAATGTTTGTATTTTTTTTTATTTTAATCTTCAAGCGAATATAAGTTTTTATCTATCTTATATCGTGGCTATCAAAAAATTAATATTTTTTTCGGAATTTTAAATTTTAATAATTTTGATTTTTTCCACTTTCGGACATTTTGTAATATCAAAATTGTTTTTTTTATTTAATTCTTTTATATTTAGCCCTTTTAACTATTAAAATTGTTTAAAAAATTATTATTTTTAATACCTAATTATTTTAAGAATGAAAATCATATATTCATAGGCACTACTCTTTATTTCTTTTTTTAACAATTTTAATAGTTAAAAGGGCTAAATAAAAAAATCATTTTTGATATTACAAAATGTCCGAAAGTGGAAAAAATTGAAATTATTAAAATTTCGAAAAAAAATATTAATTTTTCGATAGCCACAATCTAATATACAGTGTGACCCATTTGTTTGCGACTCAAAATAAAAATTCAATTTTAATTTTAGCACGGTTTATCAATTGTTTTTGGAGGTATGATTTTTTAAATTTTCATGATTATAAGGATTTTGCCAATATATCATTGATCATAACTTTGGTTCCAATTGAGCGATTCCGACGAACGACCAATCATTTTTCTTGACTTGAAACAAGCTATTTGAAATAAATATTTTTGATACTGTGGCATACCGGCACACTATGATTTTTTTCTTCGCAAACTAAAAATCCATTTTCTACAATGTTTGTATTTTTTTTTTATTTTAATCTTCAAGCGAATATAAGTTTTTATCTATCTTATATCGTGGCTATCAAAAAATTAATATTTTTTTCGGAATTTTAAATTTTAATAATTTTGATTTTTTCCACTTTCGGACATTTTGTAATATCAAAATTGTTTTTTTTATTTAATTCTTTTATATTTAGCCCTTTTAACTATTAAAATTGTTTAAAAAATTATTATTTTTAATACCTAATTATTTTAAGAATGAAAATCATATATTCATAGGCACTACTCTTTATTTCTTTTTTTAACAATTTTAATAGTTAAAAGGGCTAAATAAAAAAATCATTTTTGATATTACAAAACGTCCGAAAGTGGAAAAAATTTAAATTATTAAAATTTCGAAAAAAAATATTAATTTTTCGATAGCCACGATCTAATATACAGTGTGACCCATTTGTTTGCGACTCACCCCTGTAAAATCTTTATTTATTGTGCCATTTTAATCGGATTTGTTTTAAAGTGTAGATCTTGATAAGAACAAATCGCCATATTCATACAAAATACAAGGCCCACTATGTCAGTTTTTAAGAGTAAATTTTTAGGAATTCATATAAGCGATTTTTTTAAACAAAATCTAAGCACGGCACTGGATTCACCACCCCTCAAAACGACCCTATACTAAATTTCATTGTAAAATTTTAAGTAGAAAAATGCACATAAAAAATTTACTCTTAAAAACTGACATAGTAGGCCTTGTATTTTATAAAAATATGGTGTTTTATGTTTTAAAAATACAGTTTACCAAGATCTACACTTTAAAACAAATCCGGTTAAAATCGCACAGTAAATAAAGATTTTACAGGGGTGAGTCGCAAACAAATGGGTCACACTGTAGATAAAAAAACTTGTATTCGCTTAAAGATTAAAAACAAAATACAATTAAAATTTAAAAAAATACAGTGTAGAAAATGGATTTTTAGTTTTCAAAGATAAAAATCATAGTGTGCTGATATGCCACAGCATCAAAAATATTTATTTCAAATTTAGTTTGTTTTAAGACAAGAGGCAAAATCGTTATTATCATGATAATTTAAAAAATCATATCTCCAAAAACAATTGACAAACTGTGCCAAAATTAAAATTGAATTTTTATTTTGAGTCAGGGAACCCAAGGAAAAATTGTCAAGGAATTTCGAAATGGCAAGGGTTTTTTTCGTGTCGAAATCCCCATGTGCAAAGGAAAAAAATTCGCAGTTAACATATCACCAATGGCACTTGAAATTAAAGTAACAAAATAATTTTTTCCTCCACACTATTTGTTAGGAAATTTAATTGTCTTCAAAAAAAGTTCAATTATGACGTAAATAATGTAATTTCAGAAAAAGTTAAAAAAATTACAAATAATTTTTTTTTTAAATAATATTAGTAAATTTAATTATCGCAAAAATATTGTTGTGCCTGATATAATTATTGCGATATTATCTTAAATTGTATTTCTTGAATTTTATTATACCTACGTATTTTTTGTTACAAAATTTTACCTACAAAAAAGTCCTTATTAATTACCATGTGCAAATTTTTTAATCAGTTATAATCACCATAATCTTGGAATTGTAATTTTGAACAAAATTTACTTTTTTTATAAATAATTATTTATGGACATTTTGAAAACCCTTTTTGTAAAAAAATAGTAAATTTTGTAAAAAATAAAATTTTGGGTAAAATGGTGATTTTCTCTGAAATTACAATATTTCGACGTTTTTAAATATTCTTATGATGTTGAGCAAAAATTATTTAAGATCATTTAACTCTTTTTTTTTCTTTAGAAATGTTCAAAAATTGTTTCTTTTATTTATGAAAAAAAAAAGTAAAAAAATTTCGAAAAAGAAGGCGGCATTTTTCATCCAAAATGTCAGAAAACTTAACCTAAAACCAAAATGACAGTGACAACTATACAATTAAGGTCAATTCACAATACAATGGTTCATAGCTATTTAATTTTTTATTTGAGTTTTCCAAAATGCAATATGTTTATTAATTAACAACAATGCCTCAATAATAAAAGCAATGTGCTTAAAATATGATCAAATTAGGTGCTGCACCTAATTGAAATAAAAAATTGAAAAAAATAGTATATTATTATGCGAAGATGAGGTTTGCATCTCGAGTCGCCAGACGAGAGACTTAAATCATCCGAGTAAATAATGCGCATAATCTATTGTAATACTATACTTTATCTACTCCAATTAGTAGATAATTAAATAATTTTTAAAAGTAATTAAATAAAATCTGACATCTGTCAAATGGCTAACCTTTCTTTTTACCAATTTTAAATGTTATTATAGTCGCCTTCTCTCAATTTAAAACCCGATTGGTTCAAATCACAGTGAATATTGAAATCGGCCAATCGCTGATGCCTAACAACGTGAATAATGAGTTCATTATTCACGTGTTAGGCAGGGAATTTATAATTTTTATCATTATTCATGAAAAAAAGCCAATATTATGCAATAGGAGTAAATACAAGTTTTTTACTATTTAATATTTATGTATGTTTTAATACTTCAATTGAAAATAAAAAAAAACACATTTTTATAGATATTCGATGGTGATGTGAATTGAGCTTAATTGTAATTGTCACTGTCAGTGTTTTTGTGTTTGGGTTAAGTTTTTTTCAAGCCTGTGTTTGGCAAGTTCATTTAATTAATAACTAATTAAAGGTGAGTCATATCAAAAAACGCCAAGGGACTTTTCGTCTTTTTCTTGGCTCTACTATATGCCCTGAAATATTTTACCCTTTTGTTTTAACATCCTGTATAGGAAAATGATCTTAACTAATTTTTGCTGAAAATTGTGATTTGATGAACATTCTTATTTGCGAACGTCAATTTATGACCATGATTGAACCTTTTTTTGTAGACAATTAAATTATCTAAGAAATAGTGTGGAGAAAAAAATAATTATGCTTTCAATTTTAAGTGCCATTGACCAAATTTGGCACATACTTTTTTTGCCACCTAATATTTGCTTTTACCAAATAAATTTCGAACAAAACGGATATTTTACTCACTTCAAGGTATATATTACTAAGAGGCATTCCAAAAAAAATAATAATTTTTCTAAATTTAAAAAATAATTTAATAAAAATACTATACTATAATATAGTATACATATTATGTACACAATTTTAACGAAAAATTGACACACCGTTTTTTTGTATTTGTTGCTACATTTAATAAATAATGCAATATTAAGAAATTATGCTGATACCAAATACAAGAAATCATTTTTTTATTGTCAGTTGAATATATGGAAAATGGAATATATTATTGTGGGAATATTTTAGTACCCCGAGCCGTTTCTTTATTATTATAAAGACTTTATTATTTTTTGGATTTTATTTATAAACACGAATATATTTCTTTTGTCAAGGTAAAGGAGTAATAAACCCAGGGATGTTTGCAAATGATGGGAAATTTTGCTGTGTTGAAAGAAACGGCTCCGGGTACTAAAATATTTACAATAATATTATATTATAATTTACAATAATATTATATTATAATTTAGGGTTGAGTCCCCACATTATATTTTTTACTTATTTTTTACTTTATTATTAAAATACACTGAAATTGGATTGGATCTAGTTTCAGGAGCGATTAATCAATTGGGGGTTTCAATTGATAACCTCCTTTCTTAAATTACTTTGGTTTTTAATACTCATTTTAAGGGAGGGGGGTTATTTCAAAACTTACGTCAACTTTTGAGTATCTGAAAATTTGAAAACATGGGTATTACATGTAATGTAATGTAGGACTTTTTTATTTGTTTATAATAATGCTATATTTTTTGTGTTACATTTTTTAACGATTTTTTATGATTGTTAATCATGTGGATCAAATTTTAAAGGTTACATACAAATCTCTTGATTTTCCATAATTTCAACGTTCCACAAAATAAATAATATATTATTTTTAACAAGAACGCTTGCGCCAATTTATTTTGATGTGGCAATTAAAAATAGTTGCATTTTTTAATTTTTTATTAATTTTCGGGATTTTTAAAGATATTTATATGATGAATTTTAAACATTGTTAAAAGATTTTAAACCAAAATAAAGCTTGAAATTTTGATATCACTTGTATTTACTTACAATTCTAATTTGAAAAGAGTAAACATTATAAAAAGTCACCTGAATGTAAAAATATTTTTATTACACAAAACTTTAAAATATCTTAATATCTGTATTTTAAGTAGGTACAGTAGAACTCTAATAAATGTCAAAGAACTATTTATGTACTAAAACATGTAACTAATTTTAATTTTTTTTATTTTAGGAGGAAGAAATTGTAAAGCCAAAACAAGCAAAAAAACGGAAAAAAGTGATGTCGGATAGTGATTGACGGAAGATAATGATAAAAGAGCATAATCCCCTCGGGGAGGAGGGGCATGTGATAATTGTTGTCCCATGGATCGCCATATCAAAGAAGTACTTGTGATTTTTAGCCGAATCACCCGAAGGAGTTTCTAGGTCAAAATAATAACGTTAAATAAATCGCACTGCCGAAAACATCAATAAGGCATCCATTTGTCTTAAAATCCAGTACCTTAAACAGTTTCTTAAAAAGAATTGTTGTTAATGAATTTATTTTGGTGTTATTCAAACACTACATTTTAATGTATATTCTGTATTTAATTTTGCCTGTAAATATCTGTTATTGTTAGTTTCCCTGTTATTTTCTTTTTAATTTCGGGGTCATTAAATGAATTAGAGAGATAAACCTTTTTAAATGAATTGTATATTAATAATAGTGTTTTATTACATTTGGAAAAGTATGTATATAACTTGTAAATATATTTATAAAAATCACTAAATTCGGTAATTATTTTTGTAAATATTGTTTTTTGCAGACTCAAAATACTTTGGTTTTATACAACACCAACAATTTAAACTTATCAATTTATTTAAATAGTTAAGTTTGACTTTAAAATTAGGTTGTAAAATATTTTAAATATGCAAGCAATTCATTATTGGGAACATAAAATTAAAATTATCTAGTTTAAGTTACATAAAACTTACCATAAAATTACCAGTAATAGAATTTTCATATTATTGATATGAAAACCTGTAAATAAGAACTGTAATTTACCCAACAAAAGCTTTTTACATTCATTATTAATACTTTTCCAAAATTTATGTATTTTTATATTGTAAAATAAAATCATTGAAATAAATAAAACACCAAAATTTATTACAAAAATCTATTTTTAAACTTTTATGAAAAAATATTTTTTATTATTAGTCTCCCATTAATTAAATGGAACGTTAATTTTACTTCATTATTTTTTTCACACCTAAAAACAATAATTAATTGTTTGTCCTCCAAGCTGTGACGCCACTGGTGCGTGGCAAAAATTTTAAACTTAGTCAGTGTGGCCAACCTTCTTTGTCTCTGTGGCAGAGATAAACTGTGGCCAACTGAAAACTTTAGGTCACCGTTTAAAATGTTTTGATAGTTAATAACAATATGTGGGGTTTCATGTGAGGAATAGTTTATTTTAAATCAAACTACGTTTATTATTTATTGATGAAAATTGTGATTAAAACAAACAATTAAGTAAAAAGTGCCTTAACCTTGAAAACTCAAAGTCCCTACAGTTGTTCCTCAAGTAGGGTGTGTGTCATCTTTTTTTATTTTCCTTTTGTTTTTCGTAATGAAAATTAACAGCCTCCTACGAAAAATCAGTAATTAAGTAAGAAAACCTACAAATAAAATGGATTTCTTTAGAAGGTTCAAAACGAAAAGTCGCAACGACGATTTTGGAGTTAATGGAAATTCACCCTCAGTAATAGGAAAACCCACGAATGTAAATCGGGACATTCATGTGACTATAAATAAAGAAGGTAAACTAGAGGGACTCCCTTCAGCTTGGTTGAAACAAATTGGCAATAACATAACAAAAGATGAACAAACGGAGAACCCAGGCGCTGTTAAGCAGGTACTGTGGTATTACAACTACAACATTAAAAATCAGGACCAGGGCAACCAGCAAATTAAACCTATTATCACTGAGAAGTACATTGCTGAAGAGTCCAAGAAAATGGACCATTACCTTCATTCCAAAGATGCACACAAGAGTAAAGATTCTGACTCCAGCTTGCAAGATGAAAGGTATATCATTATTACAATATTTATTGTCCTACTGGGTGCTCAATCAGAAGCAAATCAGAAAAATTATAAAGCTTTAACATTTTTGTGTATTAAAAAATATATAGGTACCTATGTATATAAATTAATTGACGGTCACTTTGATATTCAATTGTCAATTCAAATTGGCTAGGTTATTTAGTTGTCAATTTTTTTTGTTCAATAAAATTGTTTAAGCTATGATTAACCATCTAATACCAAAGTCTATGTTTTGTACCTGATAGACAACTACACTATTAAAAAAAGTAATTAAGCATAATTAAAAAAACGATGAAGCATTGGCAAATTTTAATAGATATCATTTTTTTTTTATAAAATATACAGGGTGTCCCAAAAATGGCATACTAAGATACACATTGTTGCCAAGTTTATTACTAGAAAACCAATCAACCAAACCAATTTTTTTTACCATTTTTTTCCATATTTTTGTTTACTTAGTTCTCAAGTAAAATTAATTGAACTTATACTAGAGTTTCAAAAGCTCTCAGAGAAAAGTTGACAAAACACAAATTTTATAATGCCATTATATGAGATGCTAATAAAATGCTAATTAAAAGCAGAAATTAAAAATTTAACCTTCTTTTATTTAAAAACAAAAAACTAGCTGGCTAGCTTTATAAAAAGTTAGGAGAAAAATAGTTAATGGGCTAATAAATAATTATAAAATGGATGTTAAAATTTTGGAATAGTTAAATGCTAATTAAATGCACTAATTAAAAATTTAATGTTCCTTTTTTTATTGTAATATTCCTTTTTTTATTATAATATAAACTATCTGAACATTTTGACATAAATTTTAAAATTATTACAGGGTTCATACTATTGAATTCGTATAAAATTCCCTGACTTTTCCAGGTTTTCCAGAACTTTCTCAAGCTTTTTCCATAGACTGTGGAAGGTGTCAAAAATTGATATTGATATTCAGGCAAATAGAATTTATACTTTGCAGCTTTAATAACAGACCATAAAAACAAAAATAAATACATATAGCATAATTCATATTATATGTGACCTGGACTATAGAAAGGTACCTATGGTCGGAAGAATCAATTTTTGTTTTTTGATTGAAATTTATAAAAAATTTAACTTATTTTTTAATGGAACATACCGCAGACTCCTAAGTTTGAAATTTTTGCTGGAAATCATCCTTAAAGTTCAACATGAATTATAAAAATCGCGAAAAAAGTTATAAATATATCAAGAATTCCTTTTTTTGATCTTTTATTTTCGTCAATATCCGGAAGAGACATATCGAAAGACGAATCTGGTCATCTTCTATGTCACTAACACCTGAACCTCCACCTTGATCTTCGTAATCTTCATCACAATACGCAAAACATTCTTTTTCTAAATCCATTATGCACTTTCACAAACTAAAACAACTTATTCAACGTTCAAAAAATTAGCTATTTAGGGGAAATCATTTGAATAAGGTACAAAAATATTTATTGTAAAAGCACCACTGTATAATGGAAGTCTAAAGAGATGTGGAGAGCCAAGGGTAAGACGAAAAAAGAAAAGGTAGAAGCACAAATAAAAACGCGACCCACGGACAGTACTTGTTAACTTTAACAGCTGTTTTCTCGAAAACTTGATTTCTAACCATAGTTCCGTAGTCCAGGTCACATATGTATTTCAAAACCAAAACTTTTTTAGGAAATTTAACTTAAAAGTTATAACAAAACAGAGAGCATATTTCTCGTAAATAAAAACAAAACAAAACACAAAAATAAGTCAAATAACTATTTTAAACTTTTTCTCTCAATATTTGTAGACGTCTATTGATACTGTCCACTTCATGGTTGGTTCCTTAATTTTTGTTTTTCAGAACCTTGATTTCCGTTATTAAACAATTACGAGAAAGACTTGTAATGTTACTTTGACTTTTGTCAAAGACAAACTGACAGTTACACAATTAGGTAGTTACATTAATATTGCCCAAGCATTTCATTTATATTAAATCATAAGGTAGATTGTGTAGGTATTAAGTAAATATTATTTTCTTTTATATTATTATTATTATTTTAAGTATTTGTATTATTTACAGATAATTCCCTGACTTTTCCTTGACTTTTCGTTTTTTCTTTAAATTCCCTGACTTTTCCATGACTTTTTAGACTCATTTTATATTCCCTGACTTTTCCCGGTTTTCCCGGTCGCTACGAACCTTGTATTAGCCCATGAACAATAGTTATAACTTTTTCTAAAGCTGGCAAAACATGTTTTTTGCATTTAATTTTTAATTTCAAATTTTTGAATGGAATTTGTATGCCATCCTCAAATAGCATTTTTTACCACATGTTTTTGGAAGCTTTTCATATTTTGCACCAGTTAAAATTTTCGCTGTGTCACAGTCCCGATGCAGGACCAACCAACCCAACACTTTTTAATAACGCTGTGGCTAACCGTCCCGAGGCGGGACTTAAGTTCAGTCCCGATTGACGTCATAATTTTAAGATTTGTTATGTTACAATAAAACTAAAACAAACCAAACAAACCAACCAACTCAACCCAACACAACCCAAAACTTTTTAACAAAGAAACAACAAATTTATAAAATAAAAAAGTTTGACAATTTCTAGTAGAATCGAACCCGGTACCTCTCGCATGCCAAGCGACCGCCCTACCATCTGAGCCATCCAGCTTGACACCAATTTTAAAAGCTCGGGGAATAAAAACGGATTTACAGTGTGTGACGTCAGTCGGGATCGAAGTTAAGTCCCGCCTCGGGACGGGAGCCACATCGTTTTAATAACGAAGTACTTGGCTCCCGTCCCGAGGCGGGACTTAAATTCGATCCCGACTGACGTCACACTCTGTAAATCCGTTTTTATTCCCCGAGCGTTATAAAATTAATGTTAAGCTGGATGGCTCAGGTGGTAGGGCGGTCGCTTGGCATGCAAGAGGTACCGGGTACGATACTACTAGAAGTTGTGGAACTTTTTTATTTTTATAAATTTGTTCCTTTGTTAAAAGTATTCGGTTGGGTTGGTTTGGTTTAACAAATTTTAAAATTATGACGTCACTCTAAACTGAACTTAAGTCCCGCCTCGGGAGCGTTTTAATAAAGGAATATTAATTTAATTACTTATTATATTATTTTACCCTAGCCAAATTATGATGAGGAAGGGTGAATAATCTAAAATATTAATGTATAATTAAATATTCATGCTATTTAATGCCACATTGTATTATTTCGTTCTGTAAATTCATAAAATAAAAAAAGTTTCGAACCGGGTACCTCTCGCACGCTAAGCTAGCTCTATGGCACGCCGTTTTAGCATTTATTAGATAAAAGTTTAAAAATTAAAGTTTAGCAATTATTTTTAAACAGAAATTTATAAAGTTACATTTTTTTAAACTTAAAACAATTGATAGTCAAAAAATATTTTAAATATAAAATGCAACTGTAAAACTTAAGTTTAAAACTATTGATTTTTAAAAGTTTTAGTTATAATATTTTATTCTACAAAATTATTGGTTTAAATTTTTAAAGAGTCATTTAAATGATAGTTGAAAAAGTTTTATTACAAAAATTCTCACATTACATTTAATTGTAAGTTTTAAATTTTAAAGTAGTAATTTTTGGATTAAAAATTTATCGACCAGCATGACAAATTTAAACCAAAATTTTTTATTTTTAACAATTTTAAAGTGATAGGTACATTTTTAAGACAAAATTTATAACTTTATACATTTAAATGTAGGTAAGTCCACAATCCACACAACAAGGTCTGTTCGATCTTCTTAAAATACGAACGAAAATCGGTACTGTTATGCGCACATACGGCTACCGCCATATTTGATTTATTTGCCGCCGTTAATTTAAATTACCCAAAATAGTAATTCTGTCTAACAGGCATAGAAGAAGTAAACAAAGTTTTTTTTAAGTTTTAAAGAAACTGGAAATGTTTTTTAACATTATAAGATTTGTAAAATGTGAAATCACTATTTCTGCCATTATTCTTGCAAGTTTAAACCATACAGCATGCCACTAAATAAATAAATTTATATATAAATAGGAGAAACATTTTACCATAGTTTTACTTACTGGTTAAACAATATTTTTTGCACAATAAACACAA